TAGATTTTCTAGGTACATCTTCTTCTTCGCGTATTACCAGTTTTCTAGAATGAGATGAATACACATTAGAATAGTAATCAATCGCGCCTTCACATTTTTCACATTTCTTTAGCTTCTTATTTTCTTTGTCATCCCTTAAGAAATTTTGACAAAATTACCAAGCGCGATATAGATCGAGTTCTCTCTGTTTTAAAGGTAATAAATATGCTAGGCGCGATGTCTGGTCGAGCTGCATTAACGCTAAAACATGCGAAACAAAACTGGTATTTTTACTTTCTAGAATACGAAAGATCGGAATACGTGTATGCGGCATTGGTCGTGTTGCTTATTTGTGTACGTCGCGTAAAATGTTTCATTATATAATCAAACTTTAAACAGAGCGTTTATCTTCTCTCAACACTTCTGTCGACGCTATCATTCGTATTAACAGTGATGCGTAATCTTCGGATGTAATGTAAACACATGGTAACTTCATGTACCAGAATACTAATGCACAATACTAATGCGTTGGCTAATCTTATTTCCATACAACGAATCGTAAACAATTAGTCCCTTTGACATTGATCGAACCGTGAACATTATTAACCGACTTCGGAAAGGAGAAGGTTACTCAATTCGACATGTATATATATTTTTTTATGCATGTTACTCGATTACGCTGAGATCTTATCTTGTAGAGCATATCTCCGAGGTGATTCCACGATCAAAAGATTTTGGAATTTCTCATTTTTTAACCGCTTTCTTTTTTTTTTGCAAAAAACCGAAAAATTTTGTATTTCTTCTTATTTCGAAAGGAATTGACCAATCGGATTGAATCTTCTCGCATCTGGCAGGGCTTCGTTGCCTCTTAAAAGCTTGAAAAGAAATTTGACCTACTTCCATTTTTTACCACTTTATTGCACTTTTTATCGCGAAATTGTACTATTTCCCGTATGTTCGGCCCGAATTCGATGAAATCGACGAAACACTTTACATTTTGTTGCCGGACAGGTTTTCGAGTTGATCACTTTGCATAAATGATTTTTCTTATTGTTTATAACTATTGTTGTTGCAAAATTCCTAATTTTTTTTTTTTTTTTTTATGAAACTCGTCGAGGAATTTATGGATCGAGATTGAACTTTTCGCATTTAATGGCAGCTGATCTCGCGATTTTTCCATTTTTTTTATGGTAAATCTCCCGTTCTATACCGAAGAAAGACACAAAAAGTCGACGTCTTTTACATTTGTCCGTTTATGTAAACGTATCGGGCCACCAGTTAACAACTTAATGGTCGATTTGATTAGTTAACGTCTCGGACATAGTCCTGCGATGGAAGTGTACGAGAATGGTGCGAGCGTCGATCCGATGATGCGAATGATAGACGAAGGATGCACGATCCAATTAACGACGAGGGACAACCAGAATTTCCTTAACCCAGATACTCAACCCATGACTCGAATGCACGTGGAGTTCGACAATCTCTCCTACTCGGTTTCTTGTAAAAAAGGTAAGTCCGTGGATACATTAATTCTGACGCCGCGCGAAGAGAAAGTACGACTTACAATCGCTCGCGCTATGCACAGGGTGTTCAGGCTATTACTGTCCAGCGTTTTTCTCGTCGATGGTACGTATGACAAACAAAAATGAAAGAGGAAAAATTCATACTGTTTTTTGTGCGCAATGTAACCAGGTAAATAGATCTCTCGTATTTGTACTATTTTCTGAGAAATGAAGGCGACCTTCAGTTTTTTAAATAGAATGATATATTTTTTGTACGAAAACATAGTAGAGTATCGAATTCTAAATAAAAAAGTATTGACCTTTATTAGCCCTAAACCTAATAAGTAACGAGTCATTTCAATTTATTACTTGAAAATGTTCTTAACGTAATATCCGGATGGAGATTGGCCTGAACACCCTGTATACATATACGTCTTCCAACATAGCGGGACCCTTTGATATAAACCCTGCAGTTTTCTCTCGTGTTCGAGCACCGAAGGTTCAAGGTGTTCGGGGATCTTTCACTTAAATCGTAAGCGTGCATTTAAAGTTTAATTAATCAATGGTAGAAAATTAGTGGCGATATCAAAGAAATTTGTTACACTTTTAGTTTTCTTTTGATATTATTTACGCATCCCTATACACGATTTTATAAAACCTATTTACTCTTCCATTTACTCTGTCTACTTAATCTCTTTAAACTTGGAGGAACGTTTTGTACTTGGCATTGCCAGCTATTTGCGCACGCGAGAAATTGCCAGCATCGCGATCGTTCGTGCGCGATCACAGGGTCAACTAGACCAGGAATTAAAACCGATCGTGTAGAAGATCATCAAAGGTCTGATCGAGGTTAGAGTTGATTTACGTAAGTTTTCGAATGAAAAATCTTGGAATGATATACTGTTATCGGTATGCACGAAAACTGGAATCGCTATATCGTATGAAATTTCATGTACTCGAGTACAATGAAAAAGTAATTGGCAAACACGGGGTCGTGGAAGGAACGTTACGACTGTATATTAATTGTTCTTAATCGTCGCATTTGTAAAATGCATACTCCAGTCTATTATTCATTCGATTGAAGCTTACGAAGGACGCTCGATGTATTTTTAACGACGGATACGTGATCTGGATTTAGAGATGTACTCGTTAATTCTTAATCGATGATGCAGCGATAGTTGTTTTATTGAAGCAAAGGTTTCTCTGAGATTCAAAAATGAGGTTAAAAGGTACGAACGAAAATGTGTTCTTATTAAAGATTCCGAAACCTTTTCTTTTTAATTATAATACAGAGCTGGGCAAAGCCCTACGCTTCGAATAAATCTGATGTTTGCCGATGCGTTTGTCGCATTTCATTCTCCGGAAAATGTTCGAAAGAGAAAACGAGACAAGCATATCAACAAACTTCAGATTTATTCGAAGCCTAGGATTTTGCTCATCACTGCTATAACATTCTCCTGTTCTATATCTCTATGCGTCGATCGCGTCGAATTGCTTTCGATCGTAAAACAGAGAGAGACGAAATAGGACTCGCTCAGCAATGTCGCATTTTTCTTGCAGAAAAATCGAAGAAGTTGCTGGAGAGCGTGACTGGGTGTTTCCGGCCAGGAAAACTGACGGCGATTATAGGGCCATCCGGTGCTGGAAAAACGACATTGTTACGGATCGTATCGACGTTAAAAACGACTAACGTAAAGGGATCCATTACCGTTAACGGCAGGGAATGGAACGGTGGCGTTTTTCGAAAGCAAACGTGTTTCTTACCGCAAGAATTCGCGCTTTTACCATTGCTCACCACCAGGGAAACGCTATACATCGCCGCGCGATTGAAGGTTCAAGGTGTTCGCGGATCCCGCTCTTTCTGTTTAATTGTAAATGTTTAATTTTAATTAATACTTTACTATTCAATGTTCGATCGGTCGATAAGAGGACAATGGAATATTCACAGCACGCTTACGATTAACAGGTAAACGAAATAGCCGAAAATCTGGGATTGACGCATTGCCTGAACACGTTGGTGGAGAATCTGAGCGGCGGCGAACGGAAAAGGCTGTCGATCGGCATAGAAATGGTTACGCGACCTTGCGTTCTACTCCTCGACGAACCAACCAGCGGACTCGACAGCACCTCCTCGAACCAGGTCTCCGTAACCAAACCGAATTTATCAATAAAAATACTCGAAACAATTCTTACAATTTCTTAACGGGATATCCTGAATTAAAAGGTCTAAAACAAAGCGGATTTTCGTGATTTTTGTTTAGGAAAAAAATAATTAATTCTATCGAACTTTTTATCCTATTTTCATGGATACTTGAGCAGTCTGTAGACATTTTTTCAACAACATATATTCAAATTGAGTCGACTGTGACGCACACTTGTAGAGCACCTCACAATTATAACTTCATAGAACCACATAGAAGAAAAATGTATGAAAATGAAAATTTCTTTCGTTTTTTTTCTGTCAAACCAAAATTACGACCTGCATCATTCCCGCCGATAGGAGGTTTTAATCGCGAGGTGTTCTACAAATGTGCGCCACGGTCGACTCAATTTGAATATGTGTGAAAATAGGATAAAAAGTTCGATAGAATTAATTTTTTTTTTTTTTAGACCCCCTAATTTATGATACTCCCTTAAAGATTCGAATGTTCCAAGGCATTCGAAAAAATGTATGGAAACTAAAAAGACCACGTTGCAAGCGTGCACGGTTTACGAGGTTGCGTATTGTTTTGGTACAGGTGATTGGTCTGTTGCATAACATGGCAAGAACAGGTTGCACGGTCGCGTGCGCGATTCATCAGCCCAGCAGTCGCACGATATCACAATTCGACGACCTGTTGGTTCTCCACAAAGGAAAGTCATTCTACTGCGGTAACTGGGACGACGTTTTACCTACATTCGAAAGCGCCGGCTACGCGTGTCCCCCGTTTTACAACATAGCGGAATTCGGTAACTTGGGAAATACGTTAACGTCTAAACGTTAGTAATGTTTAGGGCGCGAGTTGAGAGCGTTCATATTTCCTACAGTTCTGGAGGTTGTAACCGCGGAGAGAGGCGGGGATTTGTGTAACCTGTACACAAACAGCCGCGAAAAGTACTCGGAATGGAAAACGCACTTCAAGTATCCAAACATGGGTAAATGCGTACGAATAAAATTCTCGTTTACTCGAATCGGTATCAAACAAATTGTATGTATTGGGTTATCCGGAATAGTCGGTATCGATTTTTGGTAGACGGTACGGGTCTGAATATATCGAAGTGGTTGAAAACAAATAGGATGGATAGATCCCTTAAAAGTTGGAAAGATTGTGGAGCAAAATGGCACCTATGTAATTGAATAAATATATATGAAAATTCAAAGGTGTTTTTGAATTTTTCTTAGAAATTGCCACGAACTTTCTGGATAACCTGATACATCGACCTCAGTTTCTAGAACCAAGTACGAACTCGTCCTTCTTTTTAGGGAGCGATTCGGCGGTTACAACGAAAATAGACAACACTTCGAGCAAATCGAAATCGATTTCTATGTGGCAAGAACAGAAAATCCTGTTAACGCGAGCGATGATTTGCATCAGACGAGATAATGTTAGTGTATAATGATTAATGTTAGTGTATACGTGTATGCATGAAAGTTTACGTTAGAAATGCTAACGCTTTGTTTTTTATTCTGTATCTCATTTTTGTACAGAGCTGTCGCTTGTTTGCTTTTAGACCCTAACGAAGCTCAGATTTGCGGCTCACGTGGTAGTGGCGTTTCTACTAGGCGTAGTATTCTACAATTCTGGGACTGACGCCAGTAGAGTTAACAGCAACATAGCATGCGTGTTTTTCATTTTGCTGTTTCTGTATTTCGCGAGTTCCATGCCAGCGGTGTTGACGTGTAAGTCCGGAATTGTTACAAGTATGATACTCGAAAAATTTAGAACGCGAGCAAAGATTACACTGTCCAACAAATTTGAACCTTTTTTCAAATTCCGCGATATCCACTAGGTGATTCTTATAGGGTTCCTCGTTCTAAATACGTATCCGAAAGTGAAATTGCTCCATCGCCCTTGGTTTTCGAGATAATTCGCGATTTTGTAAATACGGTCGATTATGAGAGAAAACGTAATACTACTTGAAAACTACGAACGCTAGAAAGTTCTATTTAGCCTTAAAAGATAGAGGAGTGTTTTCTGAATATGAAGACATATTCCTTTAGTATTATCTGCTCTTTCGAATGCCTGTAAACGAACACCGAAGTTCAAAAAGTTGCCGACGCGAGTACTTTTCACGAAATACTTTTGTATTTTGATGTTTTTTATTTTAAGAATTTTAAGAATCACCTAGCGGATATCGCGGACAAAAAATCGCGTTGGACAGTGTTATTGGACGATCTGTATTCGATTTATATATTAAAATTATTTCAAGCGCGCTGTGTTTGCAGTTCCCATTGAAGCTGCAGTCTTCCTGCGGGAATACTTGAATAATTGGTACCGCCTAAGGTCTTATTACACCGCTAAAATTATGTCGGATTTACCATTGCAAGTAAGTACGATACGGATCTTTGCTTATGTAAAATGTTCCTATATGTAATTGATTATTTTCAGATCCTTTCTCCTTCGATTTTCATCGTTATCGCGTATTGCATGACTGGCCAACCAATCGAGTGCGTCAGATTTGTCCGTACTTGGTTGATTTGCATTTTAACAACGGTCGTCGGACAGTCGTCAGGAATGCTTGTCGGGGTTGCATTCGACACACACGTAATAAATTAAAATATTGGAAAACGTTGGATTTCGAAATGAACTTTCTCGAAATAAACTCGATTCAATTGGATTTCGACCGAGCCATAGTAACGAAAACTATTAATATTTCAGTTAGGAGTGTTTTTGATCCCTGCGCTCAACATGCCGATGATCCTGTTTGCTGGATTTTTCTTAAAATTCAGCGAGGTAACATTTTACCTACAACCTTTGTGCGTTGTCAGTTTCTTCAGGTTCGTCTCCTTTATTTTTCTTTCCAACAAAGATTCGCGCACGCTAAATATTTATCCGTCCTTTCGCAGGTACGCATTCGAAGGTATTCTGGTGACAATTTACGGCGATGGCAGAGAAAGATTGCCGTGTTCCAAATTGTATTGCCACTTACGCTCGCCGAATAGAATTCTGGAGGAGATGAATATGCCGACAATTACATATTATACCGCGATACTCGGATTACTCGTTTGGATAATCTGTTTACAAGCGTTGACGTACCTGGTATTAAAATGGAAAGCGTACATGGCTAAGAGATAATTCGTGACTTTTAAATAATCGTTTATGTACTTAGAAGTAATTCTAATTAGAAGTAAATATAAGTAATTCGTATTTTATAATAGATTAGTCCATAGCATTTATCGATACATTCTTTTTGATATAATTTATATCGACAGTAAAACACAATTGATAGCGACGGGAGCTTATCGGAAGATTGATAAACATCAAAATCTTTTTAACTATTACAGGCCCGAAGTATCTTCGTAAATATTAATTGTACGGTTAGTTCGATATCAAGACTGACTGTGTATAGTGTACAACAGACAGAGATTAGTAGCTTTTGTATTATTTTAACAGACTTGGTGCATTCTGAGAATTGATGATAAACGCGCTGTGATGATAACAGTCTCTCTTATTTTTAATATGAATTGTACACACGCTTCAAAATAAAAGTAATCATTCGTAAACAGGATTTTCATAAATTAATTCAATTTAAATATATTTGAATACCGACTGAGTTCAATGGTACTAATTTTAGTGGCGCCATCGGTGGGGAAATGCCCAAGTTTGTAGCGAAAACAGTTCTCAACATTTTCGTAAGATGGCGGGACTAGGACACCAGCTGTAGGGATTCTACATAAGAGAATTAAAATCCGCTACGTTCAAACGCAATAACCAATTACAATTATCAATGTGAAGTATGAAACATGTGTGAAGAACTATACATGTAAAAATCGATAAATATGTGTAACCCCACACAGCTTCTTCCCCAGTCTAGTAATATGGGGTGCAGTTGGTACAACTGTTTTAACTCCATACATTCCACTCGCCATCTCGCGATGAAAAGATCGAACTAAAATTCCGACCTCCGTACAGCGCACCACCGGGAAAACGCCCAAGCTTGTCATCGATTAGTTCGAACTGTCACCGCGAGATGGCGCCATTTGATAGGGTATTTACCGACACGATGGTAAATTACCATCCGACGTCGGTAAATACCCTAGAAACAGCGCCATCTAACGGTAACAGTTCGAACTAATCGATGACAAGCTTGGGCGTTTCCCCGGTGGTGCGCTGTACGGAGGTCGGAATTTTAGTTCCACCTATTCACCGCGAGATGGCCTTTGATTTGACCGAAAATGCCCGGGAACCCACAAGAGAAATGTGGTAGTTTCAAAGTTTCAAAAAAAGGTTGGTATAATTTGAACGACGCGAATTTTAAACACAGTCTTCTGTCTCAACTGGTGAACTATATTTCTGGTCCCATCGATATAAAAATGTTAACAAAATAATCGTATAAAAATACCTTAAATATGCGGTATGTACGAATGGAAGAAATGGGAGAACGGTAAATTACATGCTACGAAGAAAATGAGTCTTAAATAATGTTAAAACCCTGTAGTTACATACGAAAGTATATGCACAGACATGTGCAACTTGGAAACCAATCGTTTCGTATTTTGTTAATTGACTTTCGTTAAGTAATTATTGAATATCACGTTTAACTTCCGAAGAAATTAGTATTCTTCTTCCTATTCCTATTCACTTTAGAACTTGTACCACGTGTTTCATTGCACTGGGTAGTTGATATTTGCATTTAAATTGCGTAACAAGTATATACAGTAATACCTCTCTGTAAGGTGTTATGCCACCTTGATACTCCAACTTTTACGCGAGATATACATGCTCGGATAAAATGACGTTCATATAGCATATAAAATATTTCCTAATCTTTAAAGATCAATTTGTAAAAAATGGTCTATATTTACACACCTAGAAAGAACTCGGCTTTATCAGTTCTGCCACGCCCTATGACTATACCAAGTGTCATACATATCGCTTAATTACAATTGCATTAACATAACAGGTTTAACGAAGTATTAGTCTGTTCGTAAATGTATAAACGGATAAATACACTTTTCTCACGTCACAACATTAATGGGTACCACCACTCTAGAGGCTCAAATAAAAGCCTAACTTTGATAATTAATTTTGAGAGTATCGCAAAAGGAATAGGATTTCTTTTTACAGGGTTCATTTAACACATATTGAAGTATAAACAAAAACTGTTGTCTTATTATTTCAATACAAAATGGCCGCGCTGAAGGGAGTCTCCAAAATTGTCTTTCTTTTAAAACGCCTTCATCGGAGAACGGTTTTCTCTGTCTGTATAACATTTGGAACAGAAAACCAATACATTTTACGACATATGTACACTTTCGTTTTTATTAACAATTTATTATTAATTTTTTTTTTTTACCAAGAAATGGATTAATGCGCTATTTCTACATTATTTGATTTTTAAAGAAGAACCCTGCGTACTTCTATAGCCAACAGTATATAGATTACAAAAGTTTTTGGTTATTTGTTCCAGATTTTATACTCAACGAAAAAACCGTCCTTCTGTGAAGGCGTTTAAAAAAAAAGTCATTCTGGCGCCTCGGTTTGTCGCGAAAGGTCATTTGGTACTAAAATGATAAAACAACAATTTTTGTTTGTACTTCAATGCGTGTTAAATAAACCCCGTTAAAAGAAATCATGTTCCTTTTGCGATACTCTCAAAATTAATTATCAAAGTTAGGGCTGTTTTTCAACCTCTAGAGTGGCGTTACCCGTTAAACGACTGCCGAAACGGTCATTTATCGATATCGCGAGGATCGTTTACGTTTTACGTTTCGCGAGGAATGCATTGACACTGATTCGTGAATCTTCCTAATAAATTTATCGCATAGACGCGATCTTCCATTTAAGAAATAGGTAAGCCGCGACTCGTGTCAATATGAGTATCGCAACCAGCGCTATAACGTCGTTCCAAAACTGTTCGGCGTCCATCGCGATGTCGGAAAGAAATTTCGCTGGGTATCTGTAATGGCAGTATAAATTGTTCTTCTCTTTACACGGTAAGACTGGCCGATCCATCCCGTATATGGAACCAATAAATCTACGAATTTAAACACATCATTATTTACACTGACTGTAGTAATCTCGCAGTATTTTGCATGTCTAAATACTTGTTGCTTTTAAATTCAACATTCTAGTGGTATCATCAATGAAATTCAAACATGATTAATCTGTTATAATTACCCTTCCAAGCCATATCGTAGAAAACTGACGTACGTCCCCCATCTCAAATAACTCGGTATGTCGCGCAACGATACACCGAATCCAGCAAACATCATCAATGGTACCGACAACGTTGGTCCGATGAATGTCCCGTTCTAAAATTGATCAAAGAAACTTGATCTTCATCTTCCGCGTCAAATTCAATCGTATATATACTTTGTATACATTCGCTCATCTTTCGTAATAATATCAAGTGGCTGGTCTGAAGTTATTTTCATAAAAAATAAAATCCCGGATTAATTCCTAATAAACTAATACAGGGTGCGGCAGAAATAACTCTCACATTTTCAAAAACGATTGAATAAAAATGGTACGAGATACCACCAGAGACTTTTTATTTCTTAAATCTAGATATAAAAAGGTTCTTTTTACATTATGTTTGAAAAATTATGTCGTCCAAATGGTGGCCTTTACGGGCGATACGCATTTGGAGTCGTTCTTCAAAGTTTTCCATCGCTCTCGCTAGCATTTCGGGGGAAATTCTTTCAATTTCCTCTTGGATGGCCTTCTTTAGTTCAAGGACCAAGGACGCTGTTTGAAAACCTCGGCGTTGAGGTATCCCCACAGAAAAAAGTCACACGGACTTAAATCCGCCAAGCTACGGTGGGCACGGAACTCTTTCGCGTAAAGAGATCACTCGACCTGGAAACGCCATCCGCAAAATTTCACGCTGACGACGCCCTGTATGGACCGTAGCTCGGCGGATTTAAGTCCATGTGACTTTTTTCTGTGAGGATACCTCAACGCCGAGGTTTTCAAACATCGTCCTTGGTCCTTGAATGAACTAAAGAAGGCCATTCAAGAGGAAATTGAAAGAATTTCCCCCGAAATGCTAGCGCATGGAAAACTTTCAAGAACGACTCCAAATGTGTATCGCCCGTAAAGGCCATCATTTGGACGACATAATTTTTCAAACATAAAGTAAAAAAGAACTTTTTTATATCTAGATTTAAGAAATAAAAAGTCTCTGGTGTTATCTCGTACCATTGTTTTGTTCAATCGTCTTTTAAAATGCGGGAGTTATTTCTTCCGCACCTGTACGTTCAAATTTTGAATCTACGCATGCAAAAGAGTTCGAATTCCTTTATTTGAAACTACCAGATCGTGCCCTTGATATTCGTTCATTTACCAGTACCATTAACATTCCAATTAAACGCAGTGATTCAGCGCGAGGCGCGAGTATACGTACGATTACGTTAAATACTGCTCCGATCATAAGGCCGGTACCTTGACTTATGAAAGCTACCAGCAGGCTAATAAAGAAAAACATCAAAAACCGGTAAATCTCTAACGGCTGGGACGTAATCAGGTATACTATTATGGTGAAAGCTAGACAGCAGAATATCGAAATCGGCAAGTCGACCACGGTCAAGGCCGTGTAAAATGCCTTCAAGCTGTACCACCTGTTGAAATGCTCTTTCAGCAGGATGTTCATTTGCATCGGAACTGGAAAAAAAAATCGTAACTAATATAAAACTGATATAAATGCTAGAAGAACGAAACGTTATAGGAATGAAAACATTAGTTAGCCAGCCCAAGAACGAAAGGATAGAAGTCGAGCATAAAGATCGAAGAACAGACGCGTTGGTAAATTGTTTTCTTTTTTTCTTTATACTTACAAGTAACTACTGTAAGCATCATCGTGGTCATCATGTGATGTATAAGAATAGAAAATAGTAGATTATAGTTTTCTAAAACTCTGGCGCCATCCATGCCAGTTTCGAGGAAAACCGAGCCAAGCATGAAACCGACAGACACATTCACTATAATTCGCAAATGCGTTAATGTCTGCAACAACGAAAACTTGGTAAATGCTCGGCAAATGGAAGTTTCAATTAATATATAATTATCTCGTTCTGTGCTGTTTATGTTACCAGTCGTTACGAGGTGAAGGAAATTGCGCAAGATAAAGTTGTGTAAGAATAAATGACACATGCAAAATGTCAGAATAGCAGAAAGCTCTAGCTAATTGCACCGTGTAACCTAACTGTTAAACTATCGTTCGAGGTAACGCAGCTGCACGACCTACCGTATCTCTTTTACACATCAGAAAACCCCTCGCCACCAAGATTCGAATTTGATGCATCAACGAGGTGGCTTGGAGGCTACTGTTACCGTTCGCATCGACGTTCTTTCTGAGGGGATGCAATGCTGTAAAATTAAAAATGGAAATGTCATTATCATTAATGCTGCATGGAGTTACAGTACTTCGCGTTCAGCGTAAGGTAATAACGAGGCATACAGTGCGTGTAGAATGTATTCGTACACCGATCAATTTCCCAAAAAACTTTTCTGTGAAATTGTTGTTTCGTAACTTCTTTTCTTAACTTCTTTTCTTATAATCAATGATATTTTACATATTCTCGGAAATCTTTAAGATAGATATAGTCCAACCAACATTTACTAGTTAATGTAATTTGTAAAATTAACAAAAAAAAAAATGCGAAAAGTGGGTAAAAGTATAGAAGCAATAAGTATTTGTACGATTCTTACGACGAACCATTTACAGTAGAGTTTATAACGTAAACATATTTGTTTATTGCTTCGTACGAATTAGAAAACATCAAATTTCCAGCAAAGTACTTTTAAAAAAGACTCGAATAGAGGAATTGAAGAAGATTCCACTTCTTATTAACTTCTAACTAATAATTTAGTTAATTTAACGCTTAGAAGAGTTGCAATAATTATAAAATTAAAAGGTAATCCCTCGAAGGAAGTATTATATACATATAAATTAATGTTAAACAGTTGTGCGAATACTTATTACTTCAACATTTCTATCGATTAATTGTTTCTTTCTTGTTAATTTCGCGACTTACATAAATAGCTACTTTTTTTTTTGTACTCTATCTATTCCAGAGATTTCCGAGAATATGTAGAATGTCATTGTTTATAAAAAAATAAGTTAATAAATTACAATTTCACATAGTTTTTTTTTTTTTTTAAATTGATCGGTGTACGAGTACTTTCTACACCCATTGTACGTACCTCTCAAAGCTTTCCCGTCCAACAAATCATTCCGATTTTCGAACCACTCCAAGCTCCTGCCTTTCTCCGAGCCAGATATCAACAACGATACTTTATCTTCTCCGTACTCGCCGCACGCCAACTCGATAACTGCGAAAGAAAACGCGGACGTAAATAAAATAAGTGCGCAGAACGGGACGGTGCAGCGCACTCGAAGATAATTACACGTACCATAATCGGCTGGATTGTGATACATGGGACACGGCAATTTTATGTCCTCCAAGTAAGGGATCAATTGGCTGGTTGTGCCGTGGTACAAGCACTCCCCTTTCGCCAATACGTATACCTATCGCACGAACAAATGACAAAAGATAGAAAAAAAAAAAAGTACAATTTCACATATTGTCATAAATATTGTCATTCAAAGGATGTAAATGCGAAACGTTATACAGGGTGCGGTGGACGTAAAACTCCCACATTTTAAAAAACGATTGAAAAAAAGTGGTAAAGGCCACCACCATTTGGACGACATAATTTCTCAAACATAAAGTAAAAGAAACATTTTTATATCTAGATTTAAGAAATAAATAGTGTGACATTTTTCTGTGGGGATACCTCAACGCCGAGGTTTTCAAACATCGTCCTTGGTCCTCGAATTAAAGGAGGCCATCCAAATGGAAATTGAAAGAATTTCCCCCGAAATGCTAGCGAGAGCGATGGAAACCTTTCAAGAACGACTCCAAATCTGTATCGCTCGTAAAGGCCACCATTTGGACGACATAATTTCTCAAACATAAAGTAAAAGAAACATTTTTATATCTAGATTTAAGAATTAACAAGTCTCTGGTGTTATCTCGTACCACTTTTTTTTCAATCGTTTTTTAAAATGTAGGAGTTACTTCTGCCGCACCCTGTATCAAGTAGACGTTGCTATTACCAGATCGAAAAGCTGGAAGAGAGACGCGCTTGGCTGATGAATCGTGCAAACGATCGTCCTTCCTTGTCGCGCAAGTAGCTTCAGCAGATTTACCACTTGCATGCAAGACGAACTGTCCAGACCTCTGAAAGAACCACGTACACGGTTACGTGAATACAAATTGCAAAACGTTAACATTAAGAAACGCGTTATATTACAAAGTAGACGTTGTATATCCTTATAATCATTATTTTTTTGATTACTCGTCTCGTCTCAGATTAAATTGACCGTAGAATACGCAATAGACACTTCTTCTCAGACACTTACGTCGTTGGCTCGTCGAGGAACATAACGGTCGGATTATTGACCAACTCCAAAGCAATGGACAGCCTCTTTTTCTGACCTCCGCTTAATCTTCCCGCTCTCGTATTCATGTGCTCGTACAAACCCAACGTCGTCAAGATCTCCTCGATCTGGAACATTCGGTATCTCCGTTCGAATTTCGAAATTTCGCAAACTCGAATATAGTAGCTATGGTTTCCGTCTGAATCGCGGGCATTTATTTCGATTCGATAGACGGTACAAAAATGAAAAAAGAACAAATTATAATTGCGCGATAAACGCCAAAACATCCGAAATATTGTCGTAGATAATAAATATTTCGTTTGGTCTGTTTGGATGCTCGGTGAGCTCGGTGCTCCGCTCGGCATTGTATTAAGCACCGTTGCTTTAACGACGTTTATCTTATCGAGCTTCCGAAACGTATGTTTAACATGACGCGATTAGTACCCGACGTAATTCGAAATACATGTGGACAATTGACCCCGGCAACGATACATTACTCACTATCGTTTCCTTCTCGTATTGCGGAATCTTCGTTGGGAGTTTGAGGTCAGCGGCCACTCTCATGCTCTCGATGACCGTCAACAAAGGCTCGAGGCGATCATCCTGAGTGATGTACGCGCTGCACCTGTGGCGATCGTACATCAAAACGTATGAACCGCGTACACGTGACCGACAAATCCTCGAATAGACTCTTAATTACACAACATTCATTTTTTATCTTAAATCTAACGGAATGTATACATTCACTAACGGTGTGGAAGTACGCTAATGAACGCGAACAGGTGAGATCGTAGTATTTATACGTATTTATCGACTTCGATAAAACTGTGCATCCGCTAGTAATAGTTTACATTCACTGACCATCTGCTTCCACTGTAATACATATTGCGTATACATATGGAGCTCACTTTCGAAAAGAATTCATCTGTCGAAGTCGTCCATTGATGTAGACGTTACCATTCACGCCGGTTATCCTGTATCCCGACAGAACGTCCAACAAGGTCGACTTTCCTGCGCCTGATGGCCCCATCAACGCGATCAACTGCTTCGCTGGAAGTCTTCCACCGATTCCGTGCAGGATCTCTTTCCGACCTGCAAACGCAATCCGTTATTTCAAATACAAAGGAGAAAACGACCGTTACGCACTTGAAGTTTATGTACGCGCAGGAACTCGTGTCCTGTCTAAGAGGCGCGAAAATTGTCCGTCTGAAAGGCACGTGGTTATTTCTATCGCTTCTCTTCATCGCAACATCTCGTTCCGACCTGCATACGCAATCCGTTATTTCAAATACAAAAGAGAAAACGACTGTTACGCGCAGGAACTTGTGTCCTGTCTAAGAGGCGCGAAAATGTTCTGTTTGAAAAACACGTGGTTATCCCCGTCGTTTCTTGAAAACCGCACATTCCAGAGGGAGATAAGAGTATAAGAGCGTTTATAGCTTTAATGCGATCACCGCGATAAAAATTGCCCGACAATTTTCTGATACGTCTACCTCTCGTCGATAAGCGGTCGGATAAGTACACGTACAGCATCGTAAGACGAAAGACCTATCTTAGAAAGTACCGCGAGTCGTATTAGGTCAGACGTTCCAGTCAGGCTTCGACCGAGCAAAAATTTCTCTGGCCACGTTCGACAGACCTGCAGCGCCGTATTCCTCTTAACCCAGAAGAGATCTTTCTTCCTACGACGCGCGGAGACTCGTATAAGCCCTCTTCGCTGCGTCGCAAGCGGTTTTCAAAAGAAAAGAAGTCTTGCGCGCCAACTAATTTTCCATTTCTTATCGCGTTATTCATGGTACGATGTTTATAACCGACTGAATTAAATTTTGGACTTAATTAGATGAAGAAGAAGAGAACGAAGATCTCGGAAGAACAGGTCGATAATGATTTATCTTTGATTCCTTGTGCGAAACTTTCATTCAGAAAAGAAATTTATCTATTTATCTTCCACGTCTCTGTATCGCCAAACTTCTCGTTTCCTGTGAACTCTAACGTCTCCAACGACTGACCTTTTCTGCAGCCAAGAGACACCGTGTACGTGATGTTTTCGAACATGATGTCGATGGTGTCCACCGTGTCGGTTTTCATGAAACGGACCGTCTCGCTGTTGATTTCTTTGCTCTCCAGCTTATGTTTAATCGGCTCCTTTTCCATCACGTGAATGGGCGAACCAGCTGGGTTCATTCCCTGACCATTGCTCGCCTCGTGCATCAATACTTCCATGGTGCGAGCTTATCCTGTACTAGGAGTGGGTATCAACGCTCGAACGCTCGCCGATTAGTTCACCATAGACGAGCCCGTAACGCACAACTGCAACAAGAGTGAACAAAAGCGGCATTGTTAAAGAAGGAACTCGTTTGTGAAAGCATCGGACGCGTGTTAGTCGAACCGCGTTGAAATACATCCTTCTATCGCGGCGGATGCGCGAAATATGCCGTAAGAACGTCTGGGATTCAGACTCGGGCCTCAAAGTTAACAACAAACCTACCACATATGCGACATATGAATTCCGATACTGTTGGAATATTTACTATAATTCAATCTTTTATTTTACTACAAAAACAAATGTACCGAGCATAAATTCACAACGTTATATCTGTCACTGCAGAATAACGAAAGAGAATTATAATTAATTATATAACTAATTACATACTGTTGGAATATTTACTAAACAGCAACTTGTCATTTTGCTACAAAATTAAATGTACTGAGAATACATGCGCAACGTTATATCTGTCACTGCAGAATAACGAAAGAGAACATTTTCGTTTAGGCTATGACCCACCCTCTCAAATGCCTCAGAGGACCCTTTACTGTAGTTTGCTAAAAACTAAACAGATGTGCTGAAACTACCCTGTATACAGCTAGAAATTCTTTCTACGGTTTTTCCTTTAATCGTTTTCTTTCGATATCAGTCAGTCTCGTGCAACTCCTCGTTGAGAAAAGATCACAGTTTCAAACGTTTCATACTTTCATCCATTATTCCATTCAATTCGTCGTCAAATATTTTCCCATTCAACATAGTCGAAATAATTCCAAAACTAATGCATCGTTGGTTGACTTCAATGCGTAATAAAATTCAAGGATCGCGTAACGGGCAAGAAAAATAACGAAAATTAGCGACATCGGTAATACCATGAATAATTACCGAGGATCGCCAACGCTCCGTTGGATTTACGCAGGTGATCCTGGAATAACCTACCGACGTCTATACGAAAGGCCGAAAAAAAAAAAACGAAATTTTAGGTCACGATCGAAACGACTTCGTGTGCCAAGGTGACTTTGATTCGTGCAAAAAAAAAAAAAAACCTGAACGACCGAGGAATAATGCGTGACATTATCGTGCCACGCATCGTGACGAGAAGACGTTAGCAGCAATTGGCATTGGGATGCATAATATCCACTCCGAATATCGGAAATTTAATAACAACGACGACAGTATCGAGAACATTTTATTTTCAAATTTCGGTCGTGCGAATACGAATAGATATTAATATATATACAAGACTTACTCTCGCGAAATCCACTAAAGGTAAAATCGATTTTTTTTCGACGTTCTGAATGGGAATCCTCGTTGAAACTGCATCGGACAGTCGCGATAAACTCTGCCAACCCACTCGACACGAGTATAGCGAAAACTTGTCGTCGATCTGCGATTAGATTAGATTAATGGATCCATGATCGAGAAATACAAAGGTTACTGGACTCGGACATTTTCGCCCGCGTTTCGTCGAATCACGTGCACAGGAATTACCTAGCGCGCGAAAAAAGAGGCGAACACGTGGAAGACATTATTACCATAACTGGATATAATTAGTAGCGACGACAGTGACTTTGTAGATTTCGAAAGGAGCGTAATTCGACAATTTTACGGTTTCCTTGTTACACTGACTCGACGAAAACTAACAGAAAACATAACGTTACGAAATCCTGTTACAAAACAAGTTTATCCAGAATCGTATTTGCCAACGGATATGTTAGTGGCGTGTACTAGTGGATGGATGCAAGGATTGAAATAACGTTCGAGGATTCTTTTTTTATTTCTTTATCGTACACTGTTCGGTCGATTGTAAATCACTCTTTACGCACGCAGTTCGAGTTGCGCTCGGAAAGCGGAAAACAATGCGCGGGCCAACGACGACATTGAAAAACGGTTGATCGTTGAACGCACTTCCTCAAAGAGAATAAAATGGCCTATCTCCGGAACGATAACCATAATCTTGTTTATGGAATTACACGACGATCATTGTTTCAGCTGGACGTCTAATAAACGTCGGATTCGACTCGACCGTATCATTTCCTCCAGTACGAAAAGAGATGTCAACAAAATTATGACCGATGCACGGTGGGCACCGGAGTGGTGGAAGCCCGAGAAAATATGCGCTTCCGCTCCATTTACTTTGCAATTACGAATGCGTACAATGTGTAACGAACAAACGATTCGCGACTAATATAGTCGCGTGCTTTGTTAATTTGAATATTCCAACACTTCGCCGATTGGATACCTATCGATCGATTTTTGTCAAGTAATATCCCGTTATCTATTATCGAGATAGCATTGTATGTTACTATCGCAAATACACGAATCGATCGAATAAATATTTCATGATACTAATGTCACGAAAACAACAAATAATTAATAAACCGAAACTTATTACTAGACTGCGGGTCTTTATGCGTTTGTAGGAAATTTGAATGCACAAGAACCTACGAAATGCAAACGATATGCAAGAATATAAAAGAGATTCAAAGTAAAGTTCACGTTACAACATTTGCATCGTAATAATAATTTGAACAAACGTAATTGCACATAATTAAAGTAGCACTCGTTTATTACAATTAGACTGCGACTTACAATTTGAATGCACAAGAAACTACAAATAAACAATATGCAAGAATATAAAAGAGATTCAAAGTAAAGGTCATATTACAACATTTGCATAGTAATAATAATTTGAACAAACGTAATTGCACATAATTAAAGTAGCACTCGTATGTTACAATTAGACTGCGACTTACAATTTGAATGCACAAGAAACTACGAAATGCAAACAATGTGCAAGAGTATAAAAAGGATTGAAAGTAAAGTTCATGTTACAATATTTACAGAATAAAATAAATTTTTATTTTGCTGCAATTTTTGTAGGCACGTTCGCGAACCTATTACTATCCGATCGTATTTTAAATAGTCTCTGCGCATCGTGGTTCCTTTAAAAATAATATATCGTTAAAATAGTACAACCTTCTACGCTCGACGAAATAAAATTGGCAGGAACGAGTGAAAAAACTCGTTGATCGCTTTCGATTGGTCCGTTTTCAAGTAAATAGTTGTGATTCACTGAAAGACCGGTCGAAGTACAGCGGCGAATCTTATCGCGCGCAGTGAATCAACAATGAAAGTCCAACAAAAATCATCAAAGTTCCGAGCTTGTATTGTTTTAAGAGGAACGTTAATAAATTCAAGTTCAACGTTTGCCATTTCCGATATAACCGTTGCAAATGGTAACGAACTCTCGACGATATTGAAAAAAAAAGTCGATTACGCTGTAATTAATTAGTACGCCTAATGCAATAAGTATAAAGCTCCAACGATTAAGTTTTTTACGTTTAAAGCGAGATTTACTGTACAAGTCAACTTATAATTTGTAAAACAAAGATTTAAGCGATGCATCCAATTAATTGGCACGATTGCAACGACGTTCGCCGTTCAAGCTGATGCGTAAGTTGAAGGTTCGAAATTTCTTATCGAACTTACTCATCGAGTTCCAACGTACCAGTTGTCGGTTACTGATATTTACAACATTAGTCACTGTGCAATACGTGTTTCTCGGGCCACTTCGATCGACTTTGGTCCCTCGAGTTCGACACGCGTTTCTTCCGATATAATTTGTTACATCTGACATAATCGTGTAAACAAACTGTAACTGTCTAACGTTGTAATTTTTATTCGACATTGTTCTAAAAATAATAGCTTTCGACTAATTTCGCAACGGGGAAAAAAGAAGAATAAATCCCTCTGTCTCTATAAATTAATATCCGCAATTCGCACGGTTAGATTCCTATATAAGAATAAACTGAATGAGAACATGTAGAATGTAGGCGTCACACCAATAATTATATTCGTTTAAAAAAAAAAAAGACCTCGTAAAAAAAGTAACGAACCATTTTATGACCATGAAACCGAATCTTTACCATTGGAGCAGAAGAATTGATTTCTGAATAATTAAAACAGTCCTGTTTCGTTCCTGTTAATTCTGTGCCTTTGTATCTAATCATTTCTAACTATAGTTCAAGTAAAAATATTTAATATTATGCCGACCAAGTCAGAGCCGAGAGAAATTATTATACAGCCGCTAACAGCCTCGATCACGAACCATTTATTCCTTGCGACACGATGAAGATTCAATGATACTCGCGAACAAAATTTGATGACGCTTCATTAGCAGGCAATTTACTTTTATCATATTTTTCAAGCTATTTGCTGATCAATCGAGTCGCTGATAATAGCGGATACTTAAACACTCCGATTCGAATACTTACAAGCGTGTGCAGAGATTATAAAAAAAGAAGTCGAGAAACTACAATTTCGCAGAAAAGTTTTTTGGGAAATTGATCGGTGTACGAATACATTCAACGCCCACTGCAGTCACAAAAACAATCTACGAGACCTTGTGACTTGTTTATGATTCAAATTTTTCGCGAGAGGACAGACCACAAACGGAAACAAGCTATTCGGATGATCAAGAAATATTTTTTTCTCTCGATTCGAATATTTTACCCGTTAGTCGTGAACGCAAATGAAATTGAACCTCGAGTAAACAAAACTACGTGACCACGTAGACTTTAGTTTGGTTTTTGGTTCAATGTCCCCTCTGTCCCTTTTATGTTATATCTACGCCACGTATCGTAAGTATTGCTGAAAGTATTATACATTAAACGTGTTTACGTAATACACGGATCAGAAATAGTTTCGAAGCCCACGTGTTAAAATATACGGTAGACTTTAAAAGGTTAATAACAGAGATACACTTTGTTATGTAAACTGCGTAGATATTACACATAGATCGCTCAACTACTTTCGCGAGACCGGCCTTTCGAGATTTTACGATACTCGAATCCTTGAATCGTTTATTTTATAGGCATTTCCTTCGTTAACGGCGCCTGTATGCCACGCAATAAAATACGTCTGCAGAAATGGGTACTACGAATCGAAGTATTAACATTAGTATGTCAGGATAAGCATCGGAACATGAAAATACCGATGAGCGTATTCCAACGAAATATACATCGGCATGTAGTTACATACGTCAACAGAGTATTTACTACTAAATGTTGACCTATTATCCGGTTTTTCCACTATCGCCACGTCATTTAATTCGAACAGTTGCGACGTTCGTAAATAATGACGATTAGAGGTAGAATCGATCGCGTAAATGTAAACAATCAGTTTTGCAGCAAAAGAATAGAATTACGATATAAACGTTACCAAAATCAGTATGTTAGCCAAGAACGATGTTTTCGATGCACCGAAAGTCCTTTGAACATCGAACTGGTTACATTACTATTTTAGCATCGACTCGGTCCACACGTCCGCAAAAACTTGTCGATACGGGACAGGTATTCAAATTTTTGTTGCAACATTATCGTCCGCGGATGAAAGTAACGAACTTTCGTTCGGCCTTGACTCCGATCGTTCCACTTAACAGGAACGAATTCTTCGATTCTAATAACAAGCGATCCTTCCCGCGGAGAGAAAGGACGAAAGTAACAAGGAACGATGGAAAAACAATCCAGTCCGACTGGTGTTCGAGATACTATGTAACTACATATGTGTTTGTGAAATATACAATTGAATCGTTTTCGGCAATCAATTAAAGAATTCTATTGATCTACTTTAGTTCCGTCGATAACGACAGTGTCAACCAGGAAACATCTAATTTCATTATCTCTTATATTCTTACGAACAGTGTCAGCCGCGATAAAGTTTCGTAATTACGAAAAACATATCAAACAGTGTACGCCTTCCAACCGATTTTTCAATATCCATTTAGGTCAACGATGTACAAAGTCCGGTGGACGGATCAATTTAGCCCTTCCAACCAGTTTATCCATTAAAAAATAAAGCTAAAAAACAATCTCAACGATATCGAGCGAGGTAAACGAACTGTGTGAAATCGCCCAGAAGGTTTTAACAACGCGTACACGATCGTTGGAATCCCGATTAATATTCTCACGCTTCGCCCTTTTCGATCGCAATAATATCCGAGATAGATATCGGAGGTACGTCTCGCGCAGAGTTTAAATTTAAACGCAAGTACTATTTCGTAAAGCCATGGATCCACTTAATTTTGAAAGGAAAGCAATCTAAAATAACAACTATAGCACAGAGTTGAGCGAAATCCTAAGCATCCACCTTTGAACATTTCCCAAAGGTAACGAAACTTCGAGTTAGTCGAAGCTTAGAAGCTTTCCTAACTCTCATGACTATAGTAATTTGCGTAAAGTCTGACGTTCATGATCGCCTAATAAACGAGCCGCAATACGAAACGGACACGAGTGTCCAAACATTGGCTGCCGTTACGATCCATCTCGTAAACGAATTCGACGAGTATCGGTAATACTCCGTTACGGTTGCTACGTGAAAGTGCACACTTGCGCGCATCTACACCTGCATCTACCTGCATCCACCTTACGCACAGGCGACATTCGCGTTACATCGTTACTGCGTTTGGTGGTGTCGTTTTTCTATGGCGCAATATACAGGAAGCCTGAAGAGGTTAAAAGCCATTCACTATATACCGGATGCATTAAATAGTCCCATTTACGTAAAATTTCGAACGATCTTGGTATTTCGCTGGTCGCCTCAAAAGGTATTAGGAAGCGAGACGGTATCACGCGTAACCAGAGAAATGTTACATAAGATACAAAATTCCGCGTAACGAATAAAAGATACACTTTCTTTTTAACAGACTTCGAAAAGTAGGAGGTTACTTAATTCGACATGTATATATTTTTTTTTTTCATTTTTTGTTTTTTATGTATGTTAATTGATTACGCCGAGATGGCTTGACCAATCGGAATGAAACCTGTCGCATCTTGTAGAGGATATCTTCGTGGTGGTCCCATGATCAAGAAATTTTGGGATTTTTCATTTTTTACCCGTTTTTTTTTTTTTTGCGAAAAACCGAAAAATTTGGTATTGTTTCTTATTCCGAAACGAATTGACCAATCCTTAAAAGCTTATTTTTTTATTATTTGCTCGATAAAGATGTCGATCCAATTACGATTCTATAAGGACGAATATAGAAGCTCGTACGAATTACCGTTCAATGAAATAAACGTTGACAATAAAACGCTCGCGATGTTCTCACTTGTTATCTATTATGGGAATCAAATTTTACCCCTCGAACATGTGACTGAAGTTCTTAGATACTTTGAAAAATATCCTAATACTTCGATAATACTACCGCATGCCTGATCGGGATTCTTTCGTTCGGCTCCGGCATTTACCCGATAGCTTTGCATACGACACCAACGCGGTTGTCACCGGTCGGCACAGTATTAATGAATTTTTGAAGTCAGTACATATTCGAAAATTAAAATTATAAAATCATTTTATACTTTCACAGTACGTTGTACATCTTAATTTAAAAAACTTGTAAACTGTTTAAGATCGCCGATATTATTAATTCTTCGCACAGTCGAATATTCGCGACGAATCGAAAGTATTTAACGAAATAACTTGGAAACCAGCGTGAGAGAAAACCGAATTTTTATCATTACGTAAGGCTATTCATTCTGCATCATTTTGCAGTGAAAGCGATGGCGAATTTTAGTTATACGCGTATCGAGCAGAGTTATGACGCTATGAAGCGGAGCGAAAGTTTCCGCGGATTCGAATCCTCGATCAACGTCTGAACTCGTAAAATGATCGAACATATATCGTTTAAATTAATTTAGAAAAAACAAACAAACAAACAAAATAAAATAAATTTCATACAGAACTACTGCGTGTATTTATTTGGACATCGTCGATTTGCAAATAAAATTTCTTCGATTAAAAGTTTCGCGTTGAGCAAAATCCTAATCCTCCTTTGAACATTTCCCAAAGGTAACGAAACTTCGAGTTAGTCGAGGCTTAGAAGTTTCGTGATGTGTTCTTACCGTGACAGCGAGGATGCTGAAGGGACGAAAGATCTTTCTGTATCGTTCACGTGTTCCAAAGTGAAATGTCGTTGATGCACCAGATATTGTCACTGTTCATCCGTCCGATTATTTTGTTCCGCATTCAGACTGCTTCTGTGTGTTGATAGGAACGCGACTTTGATTTTATAAAAGCGCGGGCAAAAGTGTCGCGAACATGACCACTGGTACGAACTTCGGGAGGAAGCTGTGGAGCGCGGTGAATGCGCGACAAGACTGCACTCGACACGCGTGTTCTCCCTTTTCTGCCTCCCTCTATCGTACCCGTCGATCGAGAACACCACAACTTCCCCCTCTTTTTCTATTTCACGCAACGCGGCTCACGTTCCGCTTTCCAAGAATTATTCGATGCTCGGATTCGTCGCGATGCTCTTTGTTCATCGGTTTCGATTCGATAACGATAATCTACTGTGAACGCACGTGGGTTTACTGATTGTCATGAAATGCGCGATACAGCTCGATTGCGAGCAATTCCTCTCGGTACGTTTGAGAGAACTTGGAAAATTTTCTGCCAGCTACAGTTAATGATTATCGAGTAAGAAAGTACATAATTAATCAAAATCGTTCACATTTTTCATAAAATTTATTCTTCTTGTACAACTGTTGTTTTTTCAGATACGTAAAGACCATCTAAGAACTTCCTAATATCCTTGTTCTTTACAGTTGTTGATTGCTGTATAAGGGCAGCTGAAATAAAAATAGCGATAAATTATAACAACAATCTTTTCGGTTCTTCCATTGAAATTGTAATATAGACAATGTATTTACCAGAACGAGAGACGTCTTCCAAGGAGTTTCCTTCGATTATCAGTTCATCTTTTTGTTTGGCTGAATTTGTTACAGTCACGCCTGGTGCCATTTTAACGCGACGAATGTACTTCTCGCCCAAGAAATTACGAATTTCAATGACTGTGTTACTTTCTGTCGTGACACAATTAATAGGGAAATGAGCGTATACTGCTCGCATTTTGTACTGGTAACCTTTAGTTACACCTTTCAACATATTTTCAATATGAGAACAAACTGTGCGAACAGCTGCTAATTCTTTCTTTGTGCCAAACCATTTTTCAACTTTCAGTAACCTTGGACTTACCATCTAACAAAAAAATAATATACATATTTTAGTTTTACTTGTATATTTATATACCAAAGTATGTGTTGCCGAAGGGTTAATATTAGATTAATCAGAAATGGATTTATCATTTATGAGAAAATGAAGGGGAATCCACTATATCATCATATTGTGACGTAACTTTACATATTTCCATTGATTATAAGTGACTAAACAAGTATATATACTTACACGAATATCGAGTGCAAGGTGTTTGAAAGAACGTTTGAGAACACCCCTTGGTCCTTTCACGGTAACCAAACGGGACTTGACTGTAACAGTCAGTCCCTCAGGTATTTTCACAGTTTGATTTGTTACAATTTGCTTCATTCTAAAAACAATACGATTATAAAATACGAGTTGAAAGTACAAAATAGTTATATTCTGATAAGTAATCCTATTTGCATAGGCAAGTATTATTTTTGTACACAAATATTCAAAGTATGTACTACCATACGTTACTTTATCAAGTTAATTCGATAACAAAGTTTGTTTAAACAAGGAATACGAATACGAAAATTAGACGCGTTATTTTCATACTTATAACTCGTTTAATTATGTTTTCTAAAAACATAAAACAGTTTATAGGTTATGTACGATACATACATATATTTGTATTTTTTTAAAAAAGCATATAAATTTATAAAAAATACTACGAATTTGACGAATAATTCATGTTTACAACATTATCGTAAAATCTACATTAAACACAGAAGTAAAGAAGAGTTTCAAATTTTTATTCAACTGGAAATATTGACAGGAATGGAGTGAAAAGGTTATATTTCACTACAATCAAACGATCACTTTTTCCAAAAATAATACTTAGCCTCGGATAAACATAGCAAATAATGCGAAATAATATAAATAATATGTCACAACGATTATTGCGTTGCACGATTGCTTTGGATTTCATAAAATATCCCTTCTATGTATAAATTCTTTACCTCGCTCACGCTACGGGATAACCGGAAAAGACCGAGGCGGTGAAAAAGCATGTCTGCTCCCTTCTAAACTAACAAAACTTATAGATCAGAAAATCATGATCTTCTTTGACCAACTACCTCGATTCAACCTGCAGATGGCGCGATTTATTTTGCTCAACTAAAGGTCTTTTGAAACATATAATTCTCTCTTCAAATATCTGTACTACACAATTAAATGTCTTTTTCAACGTTTAAACCTTTAAACTTACGTAAACGATCGTTAATGCAAATTTTTTTACTGAAATTAAATACGTTATTATGAGATAACCATCTGCGATGTACTTTGTTCACGGCTAAAATTTGGAACCAAACCATGGACGAAAGGTATCAAAATGGCCGAACACGGTACTGAAATAGCTACTAGTCACCACCACTAGTGCTTTTGTGCATGGTTTTTTCGCGCTTTGTTTTAAAATATACGCAAGATATACAACACGGAAAATATCAGAATCGAGTCGGATATCGCTGAAAATTCACAATATTTTGGATAATGGAATGAAATACAACCGATTGGTTACTTTTCGTGCACAGAGAAATCCGAAGGTCGCAACGATTTTTTTAATACTTCTGCATGTAAGTTTCTTGTATCTAAAAATTACTTTATCTTATCTACTTAATTTCAAAGTATTGAAAGTAAAACTGTTCTAGATATTTAATATTACATGACACGTTTAGATTCGGTTAAGAACATCCGTACTATTTTTCGTCATCTGTTGGGTAGATTCGAGGACTTGAATCAATTGACGAAAGGAACTTTTGCTCGCAAGAATTCACTCATTCAAAGGAATGAAACAAAGGACATCGGAAAACACACAAATCTGCTCACACATCGTTAAAGTAACGTACCAATAGCCTTAAATCGAAAATCTTTATATAAAGTACGTTCTCCCTGAATTAAATCTTTCATCATAAAGATTGTACAAAAATTATTCTGATTTCAAGGTTACGAAAATCTTTATCTTTATCAGTATATTTATTATCGATATTTAAATTTATTAGTTAGTTTTCTTTCATAGAAAAAGTTTAAATTCTTTTAATTTGTATAAATATTTGAACGTAAAATATGGATGACAAAAATCAAGAAACTCTAAGTGAAAATATATGCATAAGTACGATGCAGCCTGATATCAAACAAAAATCGTCGAATGCAATTTCTAAGAGAAATGAAAAAATCCCCACGAATGAAATATTCGATGAAAAAGATTTGTTAATAGCACAGTTACAAAAGCAAGTTGATAAACAAAAAGAATGTATAATGTATTATGAAAGTATCGTACAACTTATGAATTACAGGCTTATGAAATTGAAAAAGGTTCTTAAAACTCATCAGTTATTGGAAGAACTTAATTAATGATCATGATTAAAGAAAATGTTTACAATGGTTTCTTCTTAAAATTTAAATATAATCGAACAAATTTTGCATTAAAAACATGTGTACCTTTTATATTTCTGTTACTAAAAAAAAGTGTTTAGATGTATTTTCATACATCTTTCTAATACAAATATTAATTTCTTCTGTAGCAAATATTATAATGTTTTTGAACAAGATGTAAATATATATATGCAAAGACTGATGTACATATTTTATAGAATGTGTTTATTAAAATTTTTTAACCTCCTTTTAACATATAAAAAGTTGAAGCAAACTGAAATTTGCAAAATCTATGTACACTATAAAATGTTAAACAATTATACTTACTTATATACTGAACATGGTTAAATGAAAAGTATCGGAATATAATGAATGAATAATTTTAAAAAAGAACTACAAAGATCTTTTTTTTAAATGTTGAATAATATACTAGTTTCTATTGAGTTTGATTTGCATAATTTGATCATATGAAAATAAATATTTTCAAGAATACGTTTTAAGTGTGTTGCCACAATGTTATAATGTGTTTGGATATCAAAAATTATTGAGGTAGACAAAATACAAAAATTTATTTTATTCATTATTTAAGTAGCAATATACGCCGTTATCGGTGTGCGTAAAAGAAAGTACTAAACACTGATACTACAAAATATAAAATGAAGTGTATATTACAATACTTGTGTACTGAAATAAAATAAATAACATCATTAATTTATTACCTAATTATTAACTATAGTTATTAAAGTCAAATACGAACTATGTCTTAGATAATAATAACACGCCTGCATAACATACTCAAATTTGTCAGTATTTTTGTTACACTTTACACTTGAATTATTTTAAGACATTTTATAAAAACCCCTTTGATCAAAACGGCAATTGTCACATGAAGAAAAAAAAAAAGAAAAATATTTCCATTTGTTCAGTATTAATAAAGCAAAAGAGACCGTTAAAAATTTGTAACGGATCTCCTATTACGTAGCATCGAAGTAAGTATTAGATGACGAATCAAACACTTCTCTTTGACGCACAAAAAGAATATATTACAATATAGAAATTTGGATATGCATATTCTTGACTTGTATATTGCTACTTGGAAACTTCATAAAATGCAGCATTGAAACAATGTCTTTACACTTACTTTACAGTAGTTTCATAAATAATGTAATTGTTGAGTCTTTGCGATATTTCCTTTTTTCTCTTAAAAACGACGATAGAACATAATAATAATATACACATTACAAAATCGAAATGAAAATGCTTATAAAAAGTCTCTGCCTCTTCAATCCTTAGAATGTTATCACACAACTACAAGTCCTTCGGATTTTATATTTATGCGCGATAGTACGAAGTTCTCCTCTCTTTCAGAGCAAAAAATAGAAGTATTTCGCGAATTCTGGTCCGCGAAAAATTATTTAGCGGCAAAAATTCAAATTCTGCTTGTTAGTCGTACATATACAAGCAAAGAGGTATTTTATCAGTTTACATCCCAAAATGGCATCCTTTAATAGTCCGCCTGCATAGATAATCGTTGATTATTACTTGGTTTCAAAGGTATCGTACAGCGTCGGGCATCTGGAAATCTCTCGTGATATCTTTCCAATCTCAGGTACTTTACAGTTACTAAGTGACCTAAAAGAATCTCATGTAAAATCTGCATGTGTTAAATTAGGGATTTTCGTCTCGTAGTTTTAGGATTAACGAACATTTACCATCGAACCAATATCCATGCAAAGCTCTGTAAGCTTCTCCCGCGTCCTCTTGCGACATGCATTTCATGTAAACGCAACCTTCTCGGCTACCGCGATCTACACGAATGTGAAGTATTTTCACACCTTCTCCGCACTTCTCTAGAATAGCATCCTGAACTTTCGTTTCCCAATCATCTTCGAATTCTCTAATCGAACATAAATAATATATAAGCAAGAATGATAAAGTAAGTAAATGGAAAAACATAACTGAAATACTTACACGTCAACGTCGAACATATGCCTTATTTTTAAGCATGGTGTGGGTGAACAAGTCAAACTGTTTACCGAACCTTCCATTGTCTCGAATGCTTGGCCTTGCCATACTTTAGACTTTTTGTTGAGAACAAAATTTTGCGTATTCGACTTATTCAGACTATTATTAGGCAACCAGCGCCATACATGAAATTCTTCGCCAGCAACCTGTTGTACTTCCCTTCGAATTCTGAAAATTGAAATATATTGTTTTTTCGTTCGAAGTCCATACATAGAAATAGAAAACTTTCACCAATGGAGACATAGTTTATCCATCTCGTCACCTGGATTCGTTTTCATCCAAAAATTTCACTGCCTTTTCCCAAAGTCCAGCCATCTTTTTACGATCTCTCGGAAGTATCAAATTATCGCGTACATGATTTATAGCAAGAAAGCTCTCTTGCGTACCACCAGGCGTTGCCACACCGGCATTTTGATGATGCATTTCGACCATGTTAATAATTTCACTAACAAGTTTAAACACTTCTCCCTCGGTACTTTTCTTGTGCTTTATGTACCAAACGAACAATTTCTGGATCCCTATAGCTGCTAGCAGGCCTGAGAATATATTGCAATATTATTTATATACGATACTCACTCTGCGTTACACAATATATTCTCAGTCTAACATTATCACGCAACATGCACGTTAAAACTGTTCAGTGACGATACATGCATAAGAAAATCGCATAACAGACACTATCGTAGCGATAAAGAAATAATTTACTAATGCGACACAGTTACACTGTAAAAGTATAAAAATTTATAACAAAAACGCAATGCTTTAATATAAGAACATTATTGCGTTGTAAAACCTTGTTATACTTTCAACAAATTTCTTCCCATAATAAGTCGGTCAAAAATTTACCAAGTGACACAATTAGAAGGGAGGAGAATATGGTGAAAAGCTTGTTTTTAATAAGACATTGCATTGGCAATTCCGGATCCACGATCACCATTCCAACTTTTCCATTTAGACGGGTGGAAAATAATTTGTCCTGCAAGAAAAGGATATCTTTTCCTTTAATTTGTTCACACACATATATAAAAATCAACTGAATCGAGATAATAAAAAACGATAAACTTTTTTTTATAATACCAAGGAGTCCAAAACTTCGCCAGGTGCTCCGTTATCGTCGCTTATATCTACGAGTGAAATACCCCACTTGGGATTCTTTATGACGAGTAATTGTGCGTTTTGCAAATCCTCTTTCACTTCCAAGCTTGTCTGTAAAACGATGGAACAAGATGCATAGTACCGTAAATATAATTTTAAATTCCAATTGTAATTGAACGTACCGCTTTATTATTCGTGAACATTTGCATGATTTCAGAATCAGTCAGGTAAGGAGTTTCGCTGGAATTGTCGCATATCATAGACACCGCCTTTTTCGTTAAAATCTGTTGAAGCCGCTTTAACAGTTGTAGTACTGAATCTACGTTTTCTTTCAATACACAATTAACTCCAGGCGCTTCAAGGTCGGCTCCGAGAAAGCATAATGGTATGTTGCTATCTATAAATTGAAACGTAAGACTAGTATTGATTATAAAAATTCACATTAATGTGTAATCCAATTTGTTTGAACTTTTTTTTTTAAAAAGATAACCGTACTATATATTTTTTAACTTGTATGTATGATTGAACATGGAAGACCAAACTATTTAACCAATTCAATTGAACGATAAAAAGCAGGATGAAATCATAATAACGGGAAAGGAAATAAAATATCAAAATTAATACATCATTAATGCTTATTGTTTTATTATACACGTTAAAAAAAACAATACATATTTTAAATAGAATCTTACGAAATTCGTTACACGTCTCAATTTTAAAAAGTATCGAAGTTTATATAAGCGATTAATTAGTGATATATTATCAAAGTTCATCTACAGTTCTAATCGTTTTAATACAATATATCATGCAATGTGTTGAACATATTTCATGCAGTAAAACAATGAAACAGAATACAAAATTTATTATCCTAATTAGATTAAATCGATAAGCTCTGTGTTTAGAAGATTTAATTATTATAATGTATACGACTTCCTATACGTTAATAACCATTTTATTATGGTATATATGTATATAAGACATATTGCAATATACTTAGCATTAATATTAATAAAGTTATTTAAAAAGCTTTCCAACAAACTTTTTATTAAAATATATCATTTTTATTGTACTTCTTTAAATCTCTCTTTCTATATGTATATTTTTACTTAAACAATATTACAATTCTGAATACCTACCCATTGAAAGCGATGGAAAAGTTTCCGATTTTCCACCGAGTCCCATGTATATAACGGCGATAATCCCAAAAAATAAGGCAAGTACCACTACCAAAATAACGGACACCATATTCTGATTGTTTCGCATATCTTCTCTGCTCGTAGTCGACAACTTAAACGTTCTACTCATCGTCTCTCGAGGTCTATCAATGGATGATGTTAGATGCCTTGAATCAAAAAATGTTCACTTATATTCTACAAACGTATATACCGTAGATGCGAAGAAAGAATGTTTGTAAAAGAGTAAGAGTCTTAGAGAAGTCCACGTCGAAACGTATCTGTCATATTTTTGTTCGTCTTTGTTTGTCATAATTCGTTTTATCATTAAATGCACCTCTTCGTCTAAACTTTATCTATCTTGAATAATTTTTATACATACCTCGGACTCGACGAATACAGCGATCTTAAAGACGAAAAATGGCCATTCGAATCTTTCTCTTTTAATTCTGGTACATTCGAGGTATGACGCGAAGACGAACCTGAAGAGTAACACGCAGGTAACAAATTATCGATATATTAATATATATTATGGTAATAATACTTCTTATTTAAACATATTAAAACTTACCTTTTAAATTAGACAAGGAGGTGGATGGTAAATTTATAGATGCCCGGGAACTAAGTCTCCTGGTAAATTCTGATAAAAATGGAGTTTCGTAATTTGCCAAAATATCTTTTTGAGTCGAATTATCTTTTATACAGATATCTTCTTTTGTGGACTGTACCGGCGAAATATTTAAATCGAAAAGAGAATTGCCATACTTATTGTCTTTTATCGTATGAATAGATCTCGACTTTGGATCATATGGTTTTGGAGTTTGTTCTTGATCAGATATATCGTGTTCGTATGATCTAGAATCGTGAGATTTCCCAATGCTAGACAAATATTTAGATGGAGAATAACTTCTGTTTGTTTCTTCAACAACGTCCGAATCCGAACCAGTTTCCAAACCATCAGTTATACTCGAAGCCTTATGAATCTTAACATATTTTTTCTGGATATTTTTTATCGAAGTACGATTCACAAAGGAGGAGGGACCATCGTAATCTGGTGCTATAGGATCCTTAAATTCCGAATGCGTAATCTTCTCTTTAACTGGGTTTTTCGATATGCTTGTAACTGATGAAGTTAAAACAGTCGATGGTGGTGGCATTGGATTCGCTAAAGTTTGTCGTCTGGTATTCGTGCTCGCTTTTTTCTTTTTAATAGTTGTTGTGCTTGTATCATCATCTGTGTCCTCGCTACTGTATCTGATACACAAAACATTTAATGAAATAAAATTTCGCTCTACAGATTTGCAATATTATATAAGAGCAACATATAATATAATATAATACAGATAATAAATAATTTATAAGTTGCTTTTGCGCAACGAGAAATCAACAAATCGAGGTAAACAAAAGCAGTGGTGGCAAAGCTGACAATCTCTCGTCATAAGAATAGTTTACATCTGATACCATGAGAAATTTGATAAAAATTCGTGTTTATAAGAAATGTTTAAAAATCGAAAGGTTAGAAAGAATATGAAATACCTTGCAGCCAACGAATGTCGTGACCCTGTACCACCTCGAGCTTCCATAAGATTTTTCAACTTTTTTACCAGAATTTTTCTGGTGGTTTGTGTTACCGGACCCACTGGATATCCATATTCCATCAATTTACTACGTAATTCCGAATCACTCAGAGTGTCCACCGACATTTTGTTTACAGACAAAAATGCACTCTTTCTTAAAAAGAAACCCGGTAAAAAGAGTTCCCTCGTGCACTAAACTCCCGCTAGGCACACCTACAAAGCGTAATTAAAATTTCGTTCGGCGTCGATCACTTTGTTGGATATTCACACTACCATCAGTTTTTACATGTGCCACCGGTCACGATGTCATAAACCCTTGGCGTAACACTTCACAACTCGGAAAATAATCTTGGTTAGAACTAAAAAATGGCGCAATTTTCTAACGGTCGTGATCGCGCGCATACTCGTCCACACCACTTTACGCCATTCTCAACCCTGTCATCCATAGTCATGGAATAGGGTTAATCGAGATAATCTGACTCAGTGATGGACATCCGTGGGATTTTTCCCTCGAGGAATTCCTTTCTGCGCATGCGTAAGTTGACGTCACAGCTACATGTCGTCTGCTACCATACACGTATCTATGAACCGCTAGAGGAGGTGCGTTTAAGAGGCCTTTGCAATTTTCCCGCGGACAAATGCTTGCATATTCTCCTGTGAACGAACTACTGTGATTTAGTTTTATTTAAATGTATTCAGTTAATATTGGTAAGGTATATACTTCCAATATATGATTGTATATGTATATTTCATGTATTTGTGTCTTATGTTCATTTTTATGTGCAATATTTTTGTTCGAATACTGGTAAGGTTTTCTCCAGTCTCCTTACTCTTAGCAATAAATGTTGGTATTCGTGTAATAAATCGGCTGCAGACGTATAAACTAAATAAATAATGAATTGTTTTCCACTTTTTATTCTACGTCTATGCTATTTTCCTTCATAAAAACTTTTCTCTGTCCCTATAACTTCCTTACATTTTGTTCCTTACTGAGATCCAATGGTACCCTAAATTCTAAATAAGTGTATACAGCAGTGAGGACTGCAAAGCTCGTTTCAGTGCGCATGATCAAGAAAATCCCACGCATGTCCATCACTAATCCAACTGGTTCATGGAATACAGACCACAGGAACGAATCTGCTACGAACCAAATAGAGACCTCCCCAAAACTTTCTTATTTCTGTATTTTTCATTAGAAATATGGGAGAAGCGTTTTATTTGTTCGTGAAAAATTACATGACTCGTATAAATAATCCTATAATACTTTCTATTATTATCTCAAACTTAACTTATATCTATTCTTATGCATATTCAGTCGAAATTTTTTTATTTCTAACATATTTCCCTCTCTTCTTCTAGGTAACTGGCTTATACAACATTTTTTAGTAGTCTACGGTCGACATAAAACAATATAAGAATAAATATATTCATTTGGTTTACGTAAAACATTTTAAAAACAATAAAAGCGTCTTAAAGTAATTAAAGCTTCAGGCTCTGGTGAGTCTAGATTCACCCCTGGACTACCAACCTATTATTACCTTTTCCATTCGACTTTTCGTTCAAAAAGAAGTGGTTGAGGATCTATGAGAAGATGAAGTTTGAGAAACACTGTGCTTGAGCAATGTCAATGCTCATATGCTAATTATAGAACGCACATGCAATCGTATTACGCGAGCTTTTATTCTTGAGAAGAGAAGAAATAATGTCTATAAATAAAAGTAACTATTGTAAAATTCAAATATGCTGCAAATAAATTTAAATGTATTTTATTTCACAATTAAGAACTACAGGAAACTATTTTTATTTTTATCGTTATCTTTCCCTTCCTCGCTGTTGTATCACGTGGAGCTTATATTATTAAATATCTTAATATTGAATTTCAGTAGCGTAACAAATACATCCCGTTTCTTATGCTACAATATTCTGGTAAATTTTCAATACGATCGAGAGCTACGACTGCTGGACTTTGATCGTAAATATACCTGCCAGAAACTTCTCTTATTTTATCCGCTGTTATTTTCTGTAATGTTTGTAAAAGTTATGTATTCTTTATCTAATATGAAAAAATTGATTATTAGATCGCATGCTTGCCTCGTATTCTACGAGTCTCTGTTGAATGGGTACATAATATCCATATCTAAAAATATTCTCAACGATATAAAAAAAACGATTTTCCGGATCATTCATTAACACTAATTCTTTCGTTTTGCATTGATTTATAGCACGCGATACTTCTTTTTTAGTTACCGTTGTACACAATCTCATCCATTCCTGTTGTAATACACGTAACATATCCTATGTAAATGATGATACAAATTATTATTAAAAATGAAACAGCGAGATTTGCTAATGATTAAAGTATACCTCGAGCCTTAATTTATCGCAAACAAAATAACATCCCCAAATACTAGTAGACTGTGTCCATTTATGAAAAAACGATTTATACATACGGCATAAATCTGTATTGAATGCACGGTGAGCGATGTATGGTGCATTATGATTTGCTCCACCTACGAATAAATGTACGAGTATTAAATAACATTTGCTAAATTGGTATCGTTAAATAGCGATATATTCACTTACTACTCTTCATATTCCAAGAACCTATAATCTCTTTAGCTACTGTAAGCGCAAAATATGCTTCGATGTCATTGTGACTTGGTCCTTCGACTCCGATCGCGACGTATCCTAATTCACTGTCATCGTCTCTTAATCGTAATTCTGCGCCTATAATATTTTACTCGTAGTACTTAATAATAAAGAGAATTCTATCTCTTAACTTTCTTCACCTGAGAATCTATACTCGAGAGGTTCTACGTAAGATTGGATTTCGTTAGAATGTTCCGATAATTGATTATTACAATCTCCTGTTTCGCGAGTAAAATTCTTGTTAACGATATCTTCTAATTTTTGTAGAGAAATGGGTCCAGTACAAACCAATGTCATAAAAGGTGGTTTAAATAAACGTTTTCGAAATTCAATCAAATTTTCTGTACAAAATTGACTAAGAATTTGATAATATAATTAACAGACGAACATATAAGTGTATATTTGTAACAATATTCTAACTCTCGATATTCACTTTATTACATCAGTTTCGGGATATATACTGTTTGCAAGCATGGTATCTTGATATGCAATACTTGGCAGATAATCCATTACAACTTGTTCTTTATTCAACTCCATTTTAGAAAGCTCATGTAAAATTATACATTTTTCTCTTTCAACATCTTGATTACCTGAAATATTAAAATAATATATGTTAAGTAGAAGTATCGTCAAATTTACAAGATACTCTTTATTCTACCTACATATGGTACCATTCAAGATAACATCTGCAAAATATTGAATGAGCTTATTTACTTCACGCGAAGGTACTGTTCCATAAAAGAGAAACATATGTCTCATAGCAATAGCACTAACTTTTCCACCAAGCTCTTCCAACGTTTTTTCCAATTGTTCTTGATTTGCATGTCTTGTTCTCTGTTAATTTTACATCTTTATGTTTATAAACGCATTTTTTTCATTGCATTTGTCTTCGCCTTACCTTAAAAAGTAAATGTTGCAAGAACAGTGCACTGCCACGTTCTTCGGGCATTTCATGCATCGCACCCGCTGGAATAAAGCATCCCAAGGTAGCGGTGTAAGTGTTTTTGTATTCGCACACAAGACGCATACCGTTACTTAGATTCGAAGTTTCTATTGAATTTTCTGTAGCTAAGCTTGTAACCATGTTTCTTAGAATATTTTCACAATCTTGAAATGTTTTACGATGACTATTTAAGATAGAAGTATATCCCTTAAAAACGAAGCAAATGTAACATTTTCAAAAATCGATGTGCTTGTAATCGCGTAGTAATTAATATAGTACATACTTTTTTAAAGTGAAACACAATGGTGGGTTGTACACGGCACAAATATTTTAAGACCATTACCATTTTTATAGTAAACAGTTTAGTTTAGGTTACTCATACTGGACATATGTAAAAACAGTATACTTTTACATACGTAACAATTGAAAATACACGTGTCATTTATATTTTCTAGCTCCTCTATATTTACGAACGTTACGAACGTAAAAATTAATTTGCAAAATAAAACCAGACATTTTGTAAGTTTAATGAAGTAGGGGTTTTATTATAATGCGACGTAGTCATTAACAGTATGGAAAAGTAACGGAATGATTTTCTATAGCACAAAAACTCAGTAAGATATTTTTTGATACATTATTTGTATGCTTATATAAATTAATTTCTACTCGTTATACTCGTGTACTGATGTTTTTAACTTTTAATTATTTCGTAAATAAAACTCTTAAAATGAGCGAAACTATAAGCCACAATTTATTTTGTCCAATTATTATCAATATTATTTTCTTGCTAGCGCCTGTTCTTCAATTAATTATCGATAATAAAGATTCAGTACTACTAGCATAAAGAGATTTAGTATAGTCATTTTGTTGTATTACTAAGTGTTGACATGAAATTGAATACGTTACTAAATTGCACACAAATACATATTTACAATATAATTGAACACTTGTGAATAAATACATTAAACACAGTTCACGCAAAGATAGTAAAATTAGGATATAAATTGCAAATATTACTCTATAACACGCAGTTTTCTTCATATTTTCTACTTAGTGAAAGTAAAAAATGTTTATTTCTAATTTTTCTGTTCGTTCGTCTTCAATATTAAATAGATACGTTCCATTGTAAAAGTATCATATTATCAAAGTCTTCGGAATGACTTCGTACGACTCGAATAATGTTTTTCAATATCCGAACACGCGTTAAAATATATTCAAACCATGTTAAGTTCATGATTTATTCGTAGTTCTTTACAACTATGTCTCACTAAATGAAGAGACTATCTTAACATTTGATTTCTGTGACTTAAAACTTTCGACACCTTGCCTTGTAACGGAAGTACCGGTTACATCAAGATATTCGAGACTTGATGCGGTTATAGCCAAGTGTTCAAGACTGGTATCCGTAACATTTGGATAGTTTCTGAAACATTTCGAAAATTTCTATTGCTTCTTATTTCACTCATTGATAAATTACTTGTAATCTGATAGGAGTGCAAAGAGTTAACGGCAAAGTTTTATTTTCTACGTTCAGTCATACCTGACAACTAATGTTTTCAAGCGTGGATTGTTAACTACTCGTTTTTCTTCGATGAATACGGCTCCTTCTGCTGTGTTGTTGATTATTCTGCGATCGCATACTTTGCTTCCGAGAGTACATATTGTTCTATCTGTTATATTACAACGTCCAAACGAAGAAGTTTCCCAACGAAATCCAATATCAATCCAAAACTGTATATAAAAAAAGATAAAGATGTACAGTACAATATACTTTAATATCAATCGTTGCGAATGATTGGCACGCTTACTTGTGCAAGATTTTCGTCTTCGTATGTAGGTGGATTCAATTGTCTGCTCATAAGTCGTGGCTCGTATTCCGTTGATTCTGAATTTCGCGAAGTCGGACATTCTAGATAGAGATGTGTCAAAGTTTTAGTGTAACTGAAACATCCAACCTCGCTATCGCCAAGTGCTGTATCTCGTAAATCGAGAATCTGAAATATTTAAACAAAAATTTTGAGAGATTTAATAAGTAAAAAAATATAATAGAAATAGAAAAAATTACTTACCTCTAAATTTTGGAACCCCAATTTTGTTGCCAAACTTGTATAAGCGATACATTCACCTAAACTGTGACACGAATTTAATCTCAACTCTTTTAATTTTGGCATTTTACTAATAACCAACAGTGAATGCGAAGTGAACCATGAACAATTGCTTAAAATCAAGCACTGAAAAATGTGCATATATCGATGCAATAAAATATTATTCATAGATAGTTAAATACGAATGATATATTGTAGAAAACAAAAATAAAATTCCTTACTGTTAAATCAGGCATATGGAGATTCATTGTGTAAAAATATGACTTACTCCTAGGCAAGTAACCCATTTTACATCCTTGCAATGAAAGTTTCTCAATGGTACGTGGAAAATCTGTTATTTGAATCTGCAAGTATAAAAAGTAAAATTTATAAGTTTCCATAAAACTTTTTTAATTTTTATTTATATAAAAATAATTAAATAATCAGACTTGCCTCGTTTCCATTGATATTATATTGTTCAATAACCAATTCTTTAAGTTGAGTACATACATGTTTAATAGAATTAAACAAACAAGGACTAAGTCTTGCTTCTATTTCAGAATTCAAACAGCCACGAATAGCAAGAGTTGTTGTCATTGGTTGAAAAAATTTTACATACTCCTTTAAGTCATCTGATGACATAGGCAATGCACGGAAGTCTACCTTTCTCCATAAAGTTTTATCTTGCACTATTTGATTTAATCGTTGACAACACCTAACAATGTATCAACCACAAGAAACATATATATATTACATAATTTACTATTAACATACAAAGGCAATTGTGTTCTCATTCTTTTCAAAACTTACAAGCTTACTGCCATAAGATCTTGGGGATTCAAATATTTGAGTATATTTAACAAAACATCATCTGAAAAATCTAATATATGCTGGTGTGTTATTATATCATTTATTTCTCTATCCTCTTCGAGTTTTATGCGTTTCATATCGTCTTCACTGCTGGAAGGTTTGGGAGATAAAGATCTGCTGCGTTTCATTTTCATTTTTTTTTATATCTTTAAAAAATACGTTAATTCTTCATTAAACAAACTTTTATTCAGGAATTAATTAAAATTAAGTGTAATAATTTATGAATGTAACGACATCAATATTTCTGTATAGTCATCTTTAGACATTTAATAAGTAAGGATTGTTCGATTGACGACAAAAAAGTATCCCTGTGAGCGAAATATCCCGCGAATGGTGATAAATTGACAGTCGTCATGTGTGGACTATTCCATTTGCAAATGCAAAAGGGTTAATAGTTTCAATTCTTTTTGCATATTTATTGCAACCACTTCGCGGATTGAAAGCTTTTTTAATTAAAAAATTGTAATTGGCATAAAAGTGGAAAGAAAGTTTTGTTTATAAAACAATCTAATTCTGACTACCAAATAAGCTCGATTCTTTTGGCTGAAACCCAGAAATAACGATACAATTTCTGTCAACAGCATGCCACCGTGAACAACAATTCTATAGAATTTCTCGAAATTCTACATATTGTAAGCAAAATCAAAGTTCTGTCCATACTTGTACATTTTCTCCGATCTAAAATGTCGACGAGAAAGATTCCATTCATATATCTATTTGCTGTCAAACGTACAGTTTGTCGAATTATACATGAAGTTTAGAAACCGATTCGATAATATTGTGACGAATGTAACATACGTTCCACAGTTTTATTTAATAATCTTCATGGGATAAATAATATATATTTGTATCTGACAGGTCAGGAAATTTATTGTATTGTTGACAAAAATCAACAAGTAAAAACATAACCTTAAGACAACATACTGTCAGTAATAGATCTACTTACCTGACTATTTATTTTAATATTACAACCACTTATTACAGTTGTTTAGTAGTTAAAGGACGCTCACGTCAATTTCACGACACAGCGTACGCGAACGGAGCGTCCTGGAGTGTCCCCTCTGGTATGAATGCTCACGTTTGAAACAATGTCTCTACTGTCTGTGCGAGAGAGAAACGCATTTGGCGACGCCCGTAAATTTCGCTTCTCTAAAAATTATGAATCGTAGAGCTGTTTTATCTTATCGTACGAGCATAATTGGATCTCAGGTTTATTAATTTTTTAAAATTCACTCAATTCTACCGTTCAGATTTTTTTTTTTTAAATTTATATTTAATATAAAATTAAATGAAGTCTCACGGTACACATCGATAAAATATACGTACAGGAAGATGGTCAATGAAAAGTATATAATTCTTTAATTTATTATAATATATTTAAATATAGCATTGGTTGGGAAATATGTACAATGTAAGGGGAAAAACTTAGAAGTAGAAATTACGAAAATAATTGTGTCTGAGCAATTACTTAATGTCATTTTGCTGCGAGTTACACATATCAGGGGGCTACTAAAAAGTAAGATACTTACATGATTTTATACACAAGTGTATAAAATATGCGATTTGTTATAATTAGGCACAAATATGTAAATAATAAAAGCACTGTGTCTTTGGATTTAATATCTACTTTACAAGACTTCCACATGAGTATAGCATTCTTATGTTTTGCAGAAAATACCATTTCCTTAGGAACAGCGTGCTAACAGTTTTTTTTTTTTTATCTTACTCACTGGATCGTGGTATGTACAACATTATTACTATAAATCTATGTACTTCCAACGTACACCTAGTACTAGGTGATATAGAAACACAGTCTTAAAGTCATTACTTCTGTTTCAATATATATGTACAAGACTTTATGATAAAATAAAGTCTGACCAGTAATTAAAATAAATTTGTTGTACTATGGAAAGTTTCCTTACATGTTAAGACGTTTACTCTGTGAGAACAAAATTTTGCTATTGTATATTCAATAACAAATTTACATTCACACTTTGAATGAAAGTTTTACATTTATTTCGGCAAACAATGCAAGTTATCGCGCGTCATTGCAACATAAAATTGTGCGATCTATACCTGGCATCGATATTTATCACGTAACACTAAACATTGGGAGAAAGTATGAAAACAGACAAATTAAATACCTTAACAAACAATAGTGATTTCGAATACATTATGAATTTTTGTATCTACATCTATTGTGCACAAATACAAAATTTAATAAGTAGACAGACGATGTTTTAGTACGATACACTGGGAACTTTTGTTTCGAGTATAGTTGCTCCCTGTTCTTAATCTTGTTACATGAAAAAGTTAGATAAAAACAAATGCAACTTAATCAACAATATATTCTAATTACACATAGATGCAATAGAATCGAATGTGTCTCGATAAATACAAATTCGTTTAAATTGGCTCGATTTTGGTCAATATATGTTTCGACAATTATAATTTCTTGTATGCTTATTCCCAAAGTTCACTGTATGGCACACTCTCATATGTCGGTAAACGACTCATTGTACATATTATAAAGTACTATGCAGTATATGTTGTATACACGCTTAACCAATGTTTTAATCATAATAGAGTTAATCAAGCTAGGCCATGCCTGATCGTATCTTATATTTATACCTCTACTTCGGTATTATTTACCCAATTTATACATAATATAAATTTCTTTGGTCTTAGATTTTGTCTCGTATTTCAAGTTTACATACAAACCATGTAATTCTAAAATACTTTGTAAAATGGTCATAGATTGTTACAATCACTGGTTACAAATGAAATTGTTTCATTAACCTCAATAACTAATTACCTATCAAAATATTGCACAAAGCAGAATATAATTTAATTTTGCTCGTATCTGATTTTATTGTTTTCAACTCAAAATCTAATTCATAATTATTCAACTAATTATTAATGAAAATATATAACAAATATCAAATAAAATCTTGTAAGAACTTCCATCTGTTCTTAACATACTAATCTAATTCTAATAATAGGAACAACTAAAATAACGTATATTTTTGAAGCCAATAGTGCTTGAAATATAAATCTAATCAGGTATTGAAACAACCTCATGACTATCTACGTATATTTAAATTTTGCAACACACATCTTGTTTTTTATATTAAATAACTGTGTGCACTTGTATAAAACATAGCATGCATTTTATACATGTAATACTTTCCCGGCAAAATACCTATACAACAACTTCACGTTAAGCTTTTAACCTGTAAATTACCAACACTGTAAATTACTTTTTGACTGAAGAAACAACAAATGATAAAAATAATAGAGTTTAAATCCATTTTTCACGGTATTAAAGTATAAAAAATTTTTGTTTTCGAATAATGGCATGTATAGTTAAGAAAATATATTGGCGCGTCGTAAAGTTTCCCTTGCCTAGACAACAACGATTTTATGATTGTTACCATTTGGCAAGAGAACATAATAGACACGCTTCCCCTTATCTCATTGGAACTCTTGTATATTACTATGGTACTGGTTATCAAACGAAGCATTTGGTTCGTCAGCTTTGTCGATAACGCTTTGCATCTCGACTGTTGATTCGTTATTAGACTGTCCATTGTTATTATTTAGATTTCCAGAATTAGTAACGTTATTTCCCACTAAGTTTGCATCGTTTGCGGTATTAGATTGTTGAGTTTGTTGATGATGACCGTTTACAGTATTTTGGCCAGAATTATTACTATTCTTTGATCTATGCCTAAGTTTATGAGTCGTAAGATACTGTTTTACAGAGAATGCCTTATGACAAAGATCGCACTTATACGGCAAGGGATCTTGACAATTCACACCATCACCGGTAGTTGACGCGTGAGTTGTCAAATGCATTAAATAATAATGTTTTACCACAAACGATTTTCCACAAGTTTCACAGATGTATGGACCAGATACACCGTGCGTTTTGCGATGCTTATGAAGATTATCCTTCCGAGAAAAGCTTTTACCGCACACTTCGCACTCGTGCATCTTTTCGCCTGTATGAGATACAGAATGCCTAACCAGATGCTCTTTGCGGCTGAATGCTTTCGAACACGTGGCACACACAAATGGACGTTCACCAGTATGCAACTTTCGATGCTGATAAAGATGCTCTCTTCGCTTGAACGGCTTACCACACACATCACAACTAAAAGAATTATTATTAGTTTGCAAAGGATCTTCTTTGTTTCCACCATCAGAGGTGTCGGTTAAAAGAGTTTGAAGTAAACTAGACCTTGAATTAAACGATGCATTGGAGCAATTGTGATTGTTCAGTAGAGTCGCTGTGGTGAATGTTTTACCGCAATCTTTGCAAACCATGTCCCTAGTTTGCGTAACAACTTGAGGATTTACGGTAATTAAAGACGTTGGTTCGGGTGTCGATTTGATTTTTAAAAACTCTGAGATTTGTCCAATCGACGTACGAGATATCGCGTCGTCGGTTTTTACAAAATCTTTAAACTCTTTCGAGTCTTCTCGAATAGTTTGCGTGACCAATGTAGTGTCTTTAAATCCCAAATTTAAAAATACTTCTGGCCCCGCGTGTACAGCTGAGAAACTTGCTACATTTTGCGCTGCACTTTCATCTTTTTGGACTTCAGGTTGTACTTTCGGAATGATTTGCTGATTTTGTTTAATATCAGGTTCTGTCTTTAGAATAATCTCCTCCTGTTTTATAGGAAATTCCTGTTCCGTAGCGATTTCGACTTGTTGCTTTTCGATTTGTTGAAGCTGTCTATGTTGCTTTTCAAATTCTCTTTGCTGTCTTTGCAACTGTTCAATCTGTTGCGTTATCTGTGATTGACTCTGTTGTTGTTGACTGACCTGAGTTTGATTTTGCTGCTGAGAAATTTGAGCCATCTGATTCAACTGTTGAGTGATTTGTCTTTGTGACTGTATTTGCTGATTTATTTGACCATGATTTTGTATTTGATTTTGAACTTGTTGAATCTGAGAAGTTGAGCTTTGTTGTTCGTTTATTTGATTTTGTGCTTCATTTGATTGAGGTGATAATTGTTGCGACGTTTGTTGCTGGTAACTATAATGCGTTTCTGCTGTTGCTTCCACAACAGCAGCTGCCATACCTCCTGGTTGCATCTAAAATACATAATTATTATTAATTACACAGCAAATTCTATATATCCCTATTGTACTAAATATAATAAGAACTTATTGTGTAAAAATAATAACAATACTTCTATTCGCGATATTATGCCTCGTATATTAATAACTGAAATAAAAACAATACATGAATAATTAAACCTTGAATGATAGATAATAAAACGTAACAATGTTAAAAATGAATGCCAGTTATTAACGTTTCCTTTGTTAACAAACCTGCATGGCACACTTGTACTGTTGAACTCTGGCTTGAACTCCACTGATAATTTGTATATTAGAAGCATTTATGTTACTAACAACAACAGGTTGTTGATGTATTTGCGGTTCGTTGGTAAGTATCGGAGTTCCCGTAGTAGGTGATACTTTTTCCATCGACTTTAACAATTCGTTTTCAGGTGTCGTAGGTCTATCCTTCTCTGTGCTTTTTACATAAACCTTACCCTCTTTTAGAAAATCTTCCGAGAATCGTAAAGAAGTGAAATATGACTCTAGCATACCCTCTGCGCTTACAACAGTTTCTCTAAATTCAATAAAACTTTCCAATTTCTTTACACATTCATGGCAAACGATTTTTGGTAACGAATCCTCTTCCAAAACCTTGAAGTATTAATGAAATTTTACACACTATTTTTCGAAACTAAACAAACGTCTGAACAATCGAACCACGTAACGAAACAAGGCTTACGATACAGCAAATATCCATGGAAGATAGCCTATTCAGGTATTGTAATTAATCATTCCCTGAAAAAACCTCACCTGTATAGGTAAACATGTTTGTATCTTTGTTTGAAGTTGCCGTCTACGACCTTCTTCGCGAAAAATGTTCATTTTGTTACCCTCGCTGCTGGTACACAATCTGCACAGTTCGTAGTAATTCACTCTTCGATATCCAGACATTGTTTTCCCGCGGAAAACTCAATTATGCGACCTTAAGAAAATCGCGAATAACTCTACTATCGAATATATACACGCGTAACAACAATCACTGTTGCTTCATCATCATTGACGATGTTGTTTCACATGAAAAATATGATTCCGTTTGATATCGCATCTCTGAGACTACGTGAATTGCACCCGTGGCCATTTGCAGTTTGTGATTATAGCGACAACGAAGTTAAACGATAACTAGACGCGCCAAAAATCAAACTCATTTCTCCTTCGAGCGGTGTATCAAATTTCTTTCTACTCGACTGTTCATTTTCTTTTTTTCGTCTATTTGTATGGAAACAATCTTTCGAGATTTCAATGAGAGACATTCGATTACGATCTCTTCTGCATATGTTTTCCCTGAGATCGCTTGATCGAGCTCGATTACGGGTACTGAAATATAATACAGGGTGTCCCAAAAATGTTGTAACACCTTGAAAGAGGTGGTTCGGGAGGTGATTTGAAACAACTTTTTCCTTAGCGAAAATGTTGTCCGAGGCTTCGTTGAGGAGATATTAACGGAAAACATTGACCAATCAGAGCGCGCGGATACCGTTGTAGCGGTCGCGGTAGCGAAGGCTATGTGCTAAGCGGCCGCGCTTGTACGCGAACAAGCGACTCGACGTGCATCGAAGGACATTGGACGCGGCCGCTTAGCTCGTAGCCTTCGCTACCACGGCCGCTCCAACGGTATACGCGCGCTCTGATTGGTCAGTGGTTTCCGTTAATATCTCCTCAACGAAGCCTCGGACAACATCTTCGCTAAGGAAAAAGTTGTTTCAAATCACCTCCCGAACCACTCTTTTCAATGTGTTACAACATTTTTCGGACACCCTGTATAATTATAGACGGTTGAAATTATTTTTTTTTTTAATCTTCTTAATCTTAGCAGCATGATTCCATCGCATACGAAAACAATTCGTGTAAAATACCAGTTGAATTGGATATCAAGAAAACGTGCCTTTCAGATCTTGAAGTGATTACTATAATTATTTTTACATGCATCGAAATCGTTGTAAGGACAGATTAATAGAAAAATGTAGAGAACAAAACTTTGATCATCTATAGCTAAGGACCATTTTAATATCGATAGATAAAGCATGGATATTCTTGAATATTGTCGATTTCAAAGCATTCGTGCGATACGTGAGAAAATATACATCATTGTTTTGTATTAAAAAATCTGTAGCTATTTTTGTTTATAATTTCTCGGCCAAAAACTTCTCGAGGAACATCTTTTTTTAGATTTCAATGAGAATACCCCCTTACGAGCGAAAAGATATCGAATGAGGAAACGCGGAACATTGAACCGGATAGATGAAAATGTCATCACTGACTGGTAGAGTTTCCTGTGAAGATAATATCGGAGATAGCTTCGGTGGGTGGTGTTCGGCTCGTTTTATCCTGTGGCTTTCACGGTCGATGTGAACGTTCGACATGTAAGAATGCACGAAAACGGGACACGTTAATGTTAAATTATGAAAGAGAATCTATCGATCGAGAGAGAGTATAGCGAAAAATACCACGGTGGTGTGATAGTGCGAAAATCCTAACCTTGTTTAAAAATGAAGTCGGGCACCATGGACAAACACAGAGGCTCTACACTTTTGAAACCGGAAGAAAACGAACAAGTCTTCCAATTAATAGGGAATCGGTGCCAGGTGAGAATTATTTCTGCCAAAAATTTTCACCCACAATTATTAAAACTGTCATTTACGTGTACGAATTCTGACCTAAATCTTGTCAATCGACAGATATAGACGAATACGTGCTGTCATTTCAGTCTTGACGTTATTTGCAAATACCTTTGGCATTACGAACGTAACGGCTAAGCTTTGCTCTGTTTCATTTACAATTAATACGATGTTCGAATAAGAATTACACGATGTATAATATGTTTTCCGAGCGACACATTTAATGTTGTAAAGATGGATTCGTATTACAAAAACTATCGAATTAATCGTTTAACGTGGATACGTTAACGACACACATTTATCAATGTACAAGTTCTTTTTCTCAAACATAATTACAAATCTTTACTTTGCATTTTTGGAGGACATGCAAGTATTTGAAAGTATGATGGATCATATAATGAAACATATAACAGATCCTCTATAAATTTATGTACATATTCTGTATAAATTTCATGATGATTATCATTCTTTGCATGTAAAATTACTTCACAAATAGTATCATGCTTTTTAAAATTACATATTAGTCATAAATTGAATGACATCAGAAGATTCATAACTGTACAGGAATTTTCCACTAAGTGATCATGATATGTTTTTTTAAAAAATTTTGTCAACATATTTGCTGAACTATAAATAAATATTTATATCTCTTTACAGTTTTAATTTAAGTATACTAAGCTTATGTATTTATGTATCAATTGCTTATAGTTAATTGAGATTAGAGCAATGAATATAGGAGAATTTAGTAGTAATGGTATGATATTTTTACTGTTTATTGCAGTGTTTAGCAGCTGGAATTATTCAATTATATTTAACGGAACCACCTTTGCATAAAGAATGGATAAAGAAAACTACAGGTATTATAACATTAATAAGGGATAATCCTAGGCGTAGTTTCTTCCTTCGGTTATATTGTCTGCAAAGGAAAGCAATGTTATGGGAACATGAAGTTTATAATGCAATGGATTATAAAGCACCATTAATGTACTTCCATACATTTGAAGCTGAAGATTGTATGGCTGCTTTCAATTTTGCAAGTGAAACAGATGCTGTTACGTTAAGGTAAGTTGAGTCAAAGATTTCATTGATCTTAAGAAGAGTTTTATAACAATAAAGAAGGTGTAAAAATATTAAGTAAACGTGATTTGTTTTTAGAAATATTCTTCTTGATAAACTGAATGCTAAACGTCAAAGAAGACAGCAAAGACGGTCTAAAATGGAAGTAGAGTCTCAACATGGTGCAACATTGCCATGGAGAAATCAAAGCAACGCGTCGTCGGTTGCATTTAGCACAGGGTCAACTTCTAATTTATTAAATGGAACTCCCACTACAGTTGGCGTTAATAGAAGTGCTTCGAGTAGTTCTATGTATAAATCTAAGAAGAAAAAACGAGAGAAAGCTAAACGAAAATTAACAAAAGATGATATAGGTCCACCATCAAATTTTAGGTTGGCAATTTATGAATTTAAGGTAATTTCAATATTTTAGTTATAGCTGACAAAGATATTTTCTTTCATTTTCAGACATGTATCGCACTTGGGATGGAATGACTCAGGATTCGAATACGAACCAGAAGATCCACACTTGAAGATTTTTCTGGATAAAGTTGGTGTATCGGAACACCAATTTAGTAATCAGGAAACGCGCAATTTTATTTATGATTTCATTGAAAAGAATGGAGGCATGAATGCTATCCGAGAAGATATTTCATCGTCTATTCCAAAATCTAGCGCACAGCAACAACCACAGCAACAAGCTCCTCCAGTAGCACCTCAACGACAGGAATACCCTCCTCCAGTTCCTGCGCGAACAATACCTGTTCGTACTTTTTTTATAATCTTATATGGTATATGATACATATACAAAATTTTAACCAGTCAATTTTTTATAGCATCAATCGAGAAGCGCTCCGCCACTACCTCCAAATCGATTTAATGCACCTTCAACACCACCGAGCGCACCAGCTAATGCTCCACGGGTGCATAAATCATTACCATTACGACCACCGCCACCTTCTTTAACCACTGCTCCGTCATTGCCGCCACCTCCGCCGCCACCTCCGCCAGCTCCAGCTCCACCTTCCAGGACTAATTCTATGGCACCTGTTCCACCTCCGCCGCCATTGCCTAATTTAGTAAACACGGATGAAGGAACTCTCAATACAAGTGCTACGAATAATAATAATAATAATAATAATACTAGTAATAATAATAACGAAGAAAATGTTGATCCCAGATCAATGCTTATGGAATCCATCAGAAGTGGCACTACGCTTAAAGTAAGTATTGGAGTTGTAACATTTTTTATTTATATAACTTATTTTCGTAAATTGTACTCAAACTTTAATTGCTTCTTTTTTTTTTTTAGAAAGTCGATAAATCTGAAATTAAACAAAAAGAACCTCCTGTACAAGGGGATTCTAGAAATGCTTTATTGGAACAAATTCGTCAAGGAGTTGAATTGAGGCCTGTTTCGAACGAAGCAAAACCTAAGACAACTCCAGTATTTCAAGGAGGATTAGCTAGTGCTTTGTCAAGGGCTCTTGCGGAGCGATCAAGTGCAATCCATAGTGAAAGTGATAAATCGACTAGTGAAACCAGTGATGATGATGAGTGGGACGATTAATTCAGGTCAGTTTCGTACGGGTGTTTAGAAAATTTGTACATGTATAAATTTGGAAACGATACAGTACGCGAAAACCAATGTCATCATATTGATGAAAATATGAAATACTATTTCAGATGAAATATACAACCCGAGGAATACAATAATATACCACTGTGATAAATCTGCTATTGATAAACATTTAAACAGATTAGCTACTGTAAATGTATAATGTAACGATTTTGAATTTGATATCCAAAGAAGAATGAAAATCATATATAAATGTTCCGAAAAAACGGAATCAGTTAAATGTGTTATCAGAAAGTAAGGCACAATCACGTGGATAGGGCAGGTAAGGGCAGAATGAAGGTTTTAATATCGTCTCGGAGAAATCACAACGTACATTTATCAAAGGAAGCGACTTGCATAAAGTAAATGCGATGCTACGAAGCACAATAGATATGCGAAAGTCAGTTTTTAATGTGGTATTATTTATTTGTTCGTTATTAACAACCATTTTGTCCTTGGAATAAACTTTGATCGACGATAGCCGTAGACATACATAAATATACAAAGCTTGTTCTAAGACTAAAATTACTGTTAATAATTCCATGCGACCAAGCTATTATTCTAATTACTATATTTATTTGCTCAATTGCGAAACCCGATATTTGACAAATAAAACAAGTATTAGAAAGTAATGGTATTTATACATACTGTCGCAAGTGAACGTCGCAAGAAATATAGCAAAGAATGCTGTTATGTTACAAATAGTATATTTGTATACTACAGTTAACAGTATTATAAATTTTACATAAGTTTATTCAGCACAGTCCTTTCGTTACGCAATATTTCTACATCCTTTGCCCTAGTTTGCCCTGCCCAGTACGTGCGACTCAAAGTACACGTATAATGTTAAGTTAGCAATGGCGTTAGTGCGGACAGCATTTTTAACGATAGAACAAATGTAAACGTATGCATTTCCAAATTAATTGGAATAGTTCTGTCAGTCGTAATAGATATGAAAAAAAAGAAGTATTACAAATATTATTAGATTTCTTTCCAGGTGAATACTCTGTGAAACTGCAATAATTTCGATAATGATCTATATATAAAAAGTACATCGAAACAATTTTAATTCATAAAAACTATACTTAACATCTTCAGAGACATGTACGTAATGTATCACACGTGCTACCCTACAGGTCGACATTAGAAATCAAACTGTCATCAATTATAAGATTTATTGGATTAAGAAATCAAAATCGACTCGCATGCCTCCTCTTTTTTTTTTAATCTTATTTTATAATGGTGTAATACACAAAACCAGAAATCGACCTTTACAAAGTATACAATTTATACTTAAACTTATCGATATATGAAATTTTTATTCTGTGGAATTCCCGTTTAAGTATGATTCATTGTTTCGTTTATTGGTATGAAAATCACTTTTGGGATATCTAAATTACGGCTTTGTATCTAGTCGCTTATAAAGCCAGGGTAGGGATATCGAATGAATGGAAACTATGTTCCCGGAGTGTTTTTGAAATCCATTAACCGACTCGATGAATTAGAAGTATGACGCATCTTTGATATCTCTTTTTTAACTCTAATATCTTCCTCTCTGTTACAATTTATTGTATGAATTGTACGATTTTTGTCGATGTTCTCTTCACATATGCAAGAAAAAATACGCAACATAGGGTGAATCATTATATGTTCGTTACACATAATCACGATACTTCATCTTTGAATTGAATGATTCTTAAGTATCCTACTAAAATATGTATAAGGTACGTTTAACGATGAAGTAAGGACTGTATATTTTCACGTGTGTGATAATGGTGTCGAGCCTGCGGAAGTGAAGCGCAAACTGAAAAATTGTCTGTGGGAAGTATGACGAGGCACAAGATAAAAGTTATGCCGCTATGGAGAAATCCTAGTCACACCAGAAACAGAAAAAAAAAAAAGAAAAACGAACATGTTAATTATTAATTATTGTATTCTGTTATATACTATTACACGATATTTGTTTAAAGTAAATACCGTTCGAGCTAAATCTTGGGTACGAATGATCTAAATCATACACTGCAGGATTCGTTCGGCTGTCTTGATTTTTAGGAGCGTGTATCGTGAGCGTAATCAAGGAGGGAAGCTGTAACTGTTAACTATAGTAAAGAGAAAGTAGCGACAAATGTTTTAACAAAGACTTGTTATAGATGAACTAATGTATTAGAATGTGACTTGAGGGGATAACGAAATTATACGATAATTAAACGCATTAGAAATATTGTTGCATTTAAGAAAGAGAAAGAATTATAACGGACGCATACTCTTTGGTCCAATTTCCTGAAATACATATTCGTCTTCTTTCGAATGTATAACGTAGAACACGTTACAAATCAAATTCGATTTGTATTGTGACTGCCAAATATGAAAAGCTATAAAAAAAACACTCATCATAAAAAAAAAAGTAATTTACTTCAATACGCAACTTCCTTTTACCATATTATTTTCTTTATATTACCTAAGATAGACTTTATATAACAGATCATTTATAGCGCAAATCTTATTAACTAATGCAAAATAGATGTTTCCTTTTTGTTACTACAAGAACAAGAATGGCACTCCTATAGAAATAGAGATTTCATAGACGAAGGAGAAACCTAGATTTGTTATATGTGTGTATATATAGTTCTGAAGAAAACGTTAAATATGCGTTGAAACAATGTTTGTATTATTTATTAAACGGTCTGCTTTTATGTATATATATATAACGAGGATTAGATTAAGTAACCAAATCGATCGGACTAAATATTTTTGCTATGAATAAAAATGAAATAAAATATATAGGCGTGGAACTTGCGACTAAGAGCAAAAATGGGGAAAAAAATTGAGATTTCTTAGTTTACCTCGATGCGTAATAATCAAACACACAAAGGAACATATCAAAATCCGACGAATAATAAAATGGGAGTCTTCTGTATTCGAACCTGCATTCGATCAAACAATCGTTTCGCGTAAAGGGAAACTCGAATATTTTGTAAAAGACAATGGAAGTGGGACTAGAGTAATAAAGATTACATTTAAAGTAATCGTTCTATTCTAATAAAGGACTAAACTTTCCAAATCTCGAAGATAGCAACGTCTTCGTGTAAATTGTAATTCCTCGCATTTATATAATATCATTCGATTAACGAAAATTATCGAATCTGCTTAGAAATTAAAAAATTCAAGGAACGAAAGTTGTAATATTATTATTTGAGAGAAAAAAATATACATAATAGATAGATAAAGCGATTAAGTTAATCCAAAGTATGTCGCGCCATGTATTAATTAAACAAATGTAAAACTAGCGTGATCAGTAGGTTCTGCTCATTAAAAAATAAGAACAGTGTTGAATTTTCTCACGTGATAAAAGAAATACCAAATACTGATCGCATAAATAATTTATTTCTTTATTATTTGTATTCTCATTCGACTGCCATTGCACAAAACATATCTGTATATAGAAAATAGAATTACATTTTAATACAAAATAGAATAGAAATAGAAATATATATATATAAAAAAATATAAATAGATAATTTACTGCTACTTGTGTTACAATCTCGTACATTTAAAAAACATAGATCTACCCAATACGGACAGTTTCGCATATCTTATCGTTTTCGTTCCAGACGAAATAAAAAAAATATAATTCTACGAAAAGAGAGCTTGGATCGTTAGAAAGACAATACAAAAGATTATTCATAGGTTATTCTGATCTCTCTTGTCTATTCTAATCTGATCTTGAAACAACCTCTACCGCTGTGGATGGAACGGATATACTGAACGCGGCTATAAAAACGTTTATAATTGTTATGAGAAAAACTCCGACTACGACGTAATTGTTGATCTTCCGCGCGGTCACAGACTTGGACTGTCCTTTTATGTCGAAACGACCCTTGAATATTAAACTGACGCCCACAGCGATCTGAAACAAATATAAACCAGAATAACAGTTATTTATTTGCAACGTAAAGACGATGTAGATATCTAATACCAATTTTTATGTCCGATATCTACCGGGTGCTCTTTCTTACCTGAAGCAACAGGCTGATGATAATTAAGCTTAAAATGATGAAGAAAGTGGGGCTATTCCGTTGGTACTCGATTAGATATCGCAATTGGTTCGCGTTTGCGGTGATTAGAGCTACGTCCATCATACCTTGCGCCACGGTTTTCTTCGCTGCATAAGTGTTTTGTTTATATTGTTGCGATCTTTTGTCCGTGGTGTCAACAGACAGCACGGAATCCTTCACCACTATTTCCTCGACCGCATCGAGTTTGGTAGGTGTTTCTTTCTCATCCATGGTCTCCATTTTCGATTTTATCGTTTCTTTTATTCGATCACCGAACCTCGCGCGTTACGCGAGGCTCGCAAGTATCCAAAACAAAAGCTAGAAATTAAATCTCAATCAATGACGACGCACAGGAGTACTAGACCGAAATTCATTCGTAGCGGGACAAAATTAAATGCGTAGACTTTTAAAACATATCACATTCCCGATTTACACAGTTTTTGGAATAATCGATTTCCAAAAAATAAAAATTGATTCGAGAGAAGAACCGTTTTCGATTTCCCACCGAGTATTGATAAAACACTGGCCGCATCGGTGATCGATGGTTTCGTTCCGAGTTTGAACTTGCCGTTATCGTAAACACGGAAGCTCGATCACGCACTATTACCTACTCGAGTTTTCAGGGGATGATGAATGAAAAATCTCGCCACGAAGCCAACTGCTCGTTACGTGTTTTCGGAGGCACTGTTAACACCGAATCCGGCGAAACAACAACGATAACGTTTATCGTGTTCTATATTTCCGAAGAGAGTCCCGACGCGGTTTAACGAAACCGCAAATGACGCTCGACTAAAGGGAACTGTACAAGGACAATAGATGTATACAGACTGTATATCGGTCAAAAACAACGAATGCGTGGTCTATCAGCTTATCATCGAGCCAGTAGTCGCGTAAACGATAATAAAAAAAAAACATAACGATTTCGATATCAATCGTAGGGGTATCAGCTGTTTCATGCATCTTCAATGAGTCACAAAATTGTTAACAGACACATGGAGTAACGAAGATATGTGTACAGATTGAAAGCATGCAACCGGATGCTTGCTGACTAGTTAAGGACAAGCAACAAAGCCTATTTTTAATTTCTTTTTTTCTCAACAAGAGATAAACTTGAATAAGATTCGCAACGCAGCAGTCGATTGCAACCGGAATTGGACTAATGATATCTGATAATCGATAAGAGCTGATTAACGAGTTGCATTCCTCGTGACGCTTGTTGCATTTTTTTGACGTTGAACTTGCATACTTGCAAGTGTTACCAGCGTGCGTGTATTCGGTAGGCTGATTTAAAAATAATCTAAATTAGGTAGCCCTTGTATTTCGCTCTCTGCATTATGATTGTTTTCATAGATTATTTTAGACCAACTCTGATTCTATTCTTCTGGTTTTGATATCTCGTCTTATCGTTAGATATAAAGAAATTGGTTCGCACCAAGGCTTCCGGATGTAAGTAATGCAACAACGAACAAGGCTTACATCTGATATCTTTAATTGATGTTTATCCTGTAAAAGACTATCTTCTAGCTTCTGGCGAAACAAAGCGCGGCAAAACATTTCTAGAGGGGTTCTCGATTTTCATTCGACTGTTTTTACGTTCACGAAGTATGTCGGCCCTTCGAGTGTCGTAGGTGTGATATACACAAAGAATTCCTTTCCACGATTTTCCCGATCGAAGCAACGTATTATGCGAGATGATAAGCGAGGCCGACTGACTTATCGTTCGATACGTTATCCATTTGACATGTACTGAAGTAACATCGAAAATTTGGACTGTTAGAAATTATGTTGGTCGAGAAAATAGGTTATGCGGCGATCATATACTGGGGATACAAATTTTCCCGAAACATAATATACAAAATGTACAGGAACTTTTTTACGGCGTCGTCCGTCGATTTGTACTCGATGGGTAAGTGGGCTGTTATCACGGGATGTTCCCATGGTATAGGAAGAGCTTACGCCGAGGCACTCGCTCGGATAGGATTAAACGTGATCCTCGTCAGCCCTGACACGGAGAATTTAAAGGCTATCGCGAGTAACATTGAGGTGATGTACAATGTGAAGACGAAAGTTATCAAATTAGATCTGTCCGAGGGTTTGGAGACGTACAAGGTGATCGAAAAAGAGATGTTCGGTTTGGAAATCGGTGTATTGATAAACAATCTCGGGATGTCTTATCCGCATCCAGAGTACTTTCTCGATTTACCGCATAAGGAGAAGATCTATATGAGTATCGTACATTGTAACGTCGTTGTCGTCACTAATATGTGTCGTATCTTATTGCCACAAATGGTCGTCAGAGGGAAAGGAGTGATCGTGAACGTTGCTTCGATGGTGGCCGTTTTACCGAGTCCCCTTTTGACCGTATTCGCAGCTACGAAAGCGTACGTCGTCAAGTTTACCAGAGATTTGCAGATCGAGTACGCGAGACATGGAATAATCGTGCAATGCTTGCTACCTGGAACCGTCACGAACCACACGACGGATTCACCGAGGCCAGGCTGGATTGTCCCGACACCGGAGAAATACGTTCAAAGCGCGATAAAAACGATAGGCAAAGAAAACGTGACGACTGGTTTCTTGCATCATTCCATTCTGATCGGAATAATTAAATTGATCTATCGATTATCGCCGAACTCCATCATCGTCTGGATGATCAACATTATGGAAGGGAATCGAAACAACGCTCTACGTCGATACATCGGATGATATTTGTACAAATATTTTTATATATACGAAACTTAATTTAAGGAACAGCTTGCAAATTTTATCGTTCTTACAATACAATTATAATCGTAAAAATAGCCATCTACGTAGTTTCTTATTCAATGATTCAAATTTTGCATCGTTCCTTTGCATTCCTCTTTCAAAATTCATAACTCGGTACTTGCTAAGCCTCTCTGCGAGCGGGAAAGCTATACTGGTCTTGATACCAGTGGCGCCATCGGTGGTAAAACGCCCAAGTTTGTAGTGAAAATAGTTTCCACTGCTGCTGCTAGATGGCGCCACCGATAGCTTTTAATTAATTATTGTTTATTTTTCATAAATCCACAGTTAATACGATTCTTTGCTGTATGACACTACAATATATCAATTAAATATATTATTTAAACATTTATTTGCTTGTTCATATATAAATGCAGCAATAATTATTGACCCTTTAATTAGTCGCGCCATCTAGTGGCAACACTGAGAACTACTTACACAACAAACTTGGTCGTTTTCCCACCGATGGCGCTACTGTTACCAAACCAATTTATAATCCCTCAGAATCAGAGTAGACAATACAAATTATATAGTATATACATCCTCATATACTATTTTATTACAGTGTATTAAAATATAATAAAATGTACTTCGTCGCTATCTCTTTTTTCTCTATCAAAGGAACAATAGTAAAAGTGAAACCTGGATCATGGCACACTGGTAAGACTGGTGACCATCGTTACATATTGGTCAATGGGTCACTAATATTCACGACGGGTCGTGCGATGGTATTTTAATAGCGCAAAGAGAAACGCCTAAAAGAATCGCGTCGTTCGAAGCTTTTATTGAATTTAAAGTATCGACCTAACAGTATCACCGTTGCATGTTCTTATATATTCCAAAAACTATTTTCGTGTTCTACATTTCATACATATGTACATCTTACATTACAGCAATTCCTTTAAAAGAAAAAGAAACTATTATTGATACCGTAATAATCACAGTCCTTTTTGGAAATCGGTTTCCGCCGCTTTCGACCCTCCCCTTCTGAGGAACAACAGCGAACAACAGTTCATGTGGCGAACGAAAGTATAGCGATTGACAAGCGTCTTCTTCCTGTAACTTTAAACAAATTGGAAGGTGGATCCTCGGTGGTTGGACGAGAGTGGTGGGCTGCTCGCTCGTCTCCATAGCCATCACGAGTATAAAACCCGCTTCTGCTTGCGCCGCGCTTAGTCTCGCTCAGCACCGACCTGATTGTGAAACGACGCTCTTGACGTGAGTACCATTCACAAAATATTTGCTAAACATCCTAACCATTCTACCTCGCTGCTATGAGAATTTTTGTTTAATGTTATAATGCTTCCACAGCCCTACTATTTATTTATGCTTACATTTGCCATTGATAAAGACGTTGAACTTAGGGTGGTAATTGTGCACACGTGAGTTCGAGTACACTCGAGTGGTATACAACGCAATACTCTGTCGGTATAAGTTAGTGAACGTGTTCCTTACCAGTGATGAGCCACTTGTTGCATCAGAGGTGTCCAAGCTAAGCTCATCGAGAATGGAAGTACAGGGTGTCTCAAAAATGTTGTAACACCTTGAAAGGGGTGATTCGGGGGGTGATTTGAAGCAACTTTTTCCTTAGCGAAAATGTTGTCCGAGGTTTCGTTATGGAGATATTAACGGAAAACACTGACCAATCAAAGCGCGCGTATACCGTTGGAGCGGCCGCCTAACGCGTAGCCTACGCTCAACCGGCATACTCGCGCTTTGATTGGTCGAGGTTTTCGCTTAATATCTCCTCAACGAAGCCTCGTACAACATTCTCGCTAAGGAAAAAGTTGTTTCAAATCACCTCCCGAACCACCCTTTTCAAGGTGTTACAACATTTTTGGAACACTCTGTATAACGAATTTACCATACTACCCAGTGGTGAGGCGAACAAACATACACTAAGTACATTAGAGTCCTGTTTTCAATGTACACGAGTGCAAATACCCCACCACTCGATTAGACATTATGGTAAATTTGCCACAATTCAAATCTCGATGAGCTTAATTTGAACCCGATACTTTCTTTTCGAAGGCACGTACGAAGAATTTCTCAGGTAAATTAATGCAATAAATCCAGATCGGTACACACACGTGCGGCATTGCGAAAGAAGTATGGTTGCAAGACCGGATTAAACATCCCTTTCACGCCATGATAAAATGCTCGATAAATATTGCTCCAGATTCCAACCTTTCCCGTTAAGGAGAAACCCGGGAACATTCTCGATGTGCGCGGTATTTTTGTCAAAATAAAATGTCAACGCTTCGAAACATTTTTGTTGTATTACATTTGTATACATTTTCGTTGTATTTTTGTTGATAATATATAATATATTTTATAAAAAAATCGTTTGAATTGTAAATTTAAAGATAACGAAACAGTTAATATTGGATTTTTCCAGATGGAGGTCCGTATAATATTATTAACGACGCTGGTGATGGTAGGAGTTGCCTTAGCGTTTCCGCAAAAAGACGGACAGATCTTCAGCAACGAGGCTATAAAACAGGCACAGAACACGTATCTCATTCCAAAGGATGCAACGATACAAAAAGTACAGGAGGGTATAGAATTGGCTGCATACGAGTCTATTCCAGGCGATCAGAAGATCAATCTTTTCGAAATTTTGGGGGAACACGTTCCACCGGAAGTTGTGAACAACCTTCAATCTCAGATCGATCAAATAGGTCGGAATTAGACTGAATCATGTTTCCTTCATTCCCATAGTCGTCGTTTCGTTGTAAAAAAATATCCTAGCCTTAAGTTTTCTAACAAATATTTATGTGACGCGATGTTTTTTCTAAACACTGTACTTTGATTTTTGTACACTTTTCATAAATAAACGAATAAAAATCAAATTCATTTGCAATTAAATTATTCAAAGTCTACTAATCCAAGGTAAAGAATGTTACAATCATTATTCAGAGTAATAGCTTCGTTGAAAAAAGAAATGTTACTCGTAAATTGTGAAATGTTGACTGAAGTCACCTTCCGGAATTATGTATGTAGCCAATGATGTCGTGGAGAAAGCTACAGAACCACTATCCAGAGGTACACTTTCACTTCTCTTATACTCGCGTTGTTATTGAAACAATTCTTCTTTGACATTTGCTACACTTATGGTATTGCCAAGAAATGTAAACGTAACACGAAATTACTTTTAAGATTTATTCCATTTCTGTTGCTAAACATATCGAACAAGAAAATAAGTCAAGGGTATGAAAAGTTTTGCAAAGTTACACTTTCGTTTTACTTTCACCTCCGCGCAAACCAATCTCGACGCTCCCCTCCACTTTCCTTAAATCTATTAGGAAAATAATTACGTAAGACTTCGAGATTGAATGAGTTTTCATTTGTTTTGCGCTGATGCAAACACTTAGTAGGACACACTCTTCAAATAAAAAATCCTGAAAACGTCATTTATCGTATAATCATACCGAATGGCAAGTATCTCGTTTATAGATGTTTTGTAATGAGTGACAATGTTTATACATTACTAATAAAGAACTTAAAAAGTATTTATTTTGTTTACCAAGGTACAAATTTCAAAACTATGCGAACATAATTATTAAAGATTTTGATCCGTTTCAGCTTTCTTCGCTTAGTGAATTTATATGTATACGTATGTACGATAGTTATCACTAGTGCATTGTCTTGCATTGAGACCGTATTACAAGTACACGTCTCACGTACTATCTGTAGAATGAACATTGATCGATTCTTTGATACACTTTAATTTAAGAACTTAAATCGTTATTAGAAATATATTTGGATACTATCAAAACGAACGATGGAATGAGATGTTCCGTGTTAGTAACTACATTATATAATTAATATCGATTTTTTTTAGTTGAAAAGAGATTGTTATGTACAAGTTAAAAGCGACAATGAAATTCTTTTCGTACAATAGGATTACGAAAAATTATTCGTGCACAAGTTCACACATATTACATTATTATCACTGTACCACCAAAGATTTACATCTTGGAAGTACATTATCGAACCGTTTGTTGGCGGTTTAAACGAGTCAATGCAAGAAAATGTACCGTTCTCATAACTGAATCGGCATACCACAAATGAGAAAGCTTTCCATAGAATCAACATGATTTTTGTATTTTCCAGTGTGCTTTATCTTCAGTGCGTAGGTGATCCTCTTCATTTTCTGTAACATAACAAAAGAAATATTGTTTGCGTCAGAAAAGATGACGAATCGACAAACTCTTGGTAGAAATTTTGATACGAATTTATAGATACCTGGATTTCTTTGATCCTCTATCGTTTCTTTCGGAGCTGTCATCGCGAGATCGTTTCTTACTGCTCGAAGAAGAATGACTTGATCTGTGTTTGTCGTGCCTGTCGTGTCTGTCGCTCTTCTTGGGACTAAACAGAAAGGAAACTCAAATGTTACATGGTCAAGTGGATAAATATTTCTGTTAATCACCTGTGTTTGGACGATTTGGAAGGAGACACTTTCTTGTGTGATCCCCCACTCCGTGATCGATCCGATCTTTAATCAATGGAGCATTGTCTCAACACAATTTAACAGTAAAATTATATCGTTCTAAACTTATGGTTTAAAAACCTGAACTGCGTTAAAAAATTATCTTTACCTGTGCTTATCCGACGACGATGATTTTTTGTCTTTACTGCTGGATGAAGATTTATGTTTGTCTTTACTACTAGAAGAACTCTTGTGCTTTGAATTATGCCTGTCCTTTGACGGTGAAGATGAGTGCTTCCGACCAGATTTCTTCTTTTTGCTGGAATTGTAATCATCCTGGAACTGATCGTCTGCTCTTTCTTTGTCTTCCTCAGCTGCTTCCCGTTCCAAATCTGACCAATCTTTGCCAGACTCTTCGGAACTGCCCAATTCCTCTCCTTCGCTGTCCGAGTCTTCCGAAGCCTCAGAGTATTCCGAATCATCATCAGATTCCTCTTCGCTGTCGAAGTCCGACGGCTCGTACGCATCATCCACTTCTTCGTCTTCGTCTTCCACTTCCTCATTTTCAGCATCGCTCTCTGGATCCAGGAAGGTCCATC